CACGCACGCAAACGCCTCCCGTCGAAACACACAGCATTGTCTCTGGCGATGGAGGTGACACCGTGCTGAAGGAGCTTGAGAACCAGGTGCGTGTGTCTCTGTTTGTGTGCCTGTCTCTGTGTGGTCTTGTTTGCCTTTCTACGACTGCCCCTTCAAGTGCCTCGCTGGCGCTTGCTTCTTCCTCCATCACGCCTTTTTCCCTCACACAACACACCTTTCGTGCGTTCCTCCCCCCTTCCGTTCTTCACTGGCCACCCACCGCCTTCGCTTGCATACAGGACGTTGACAAGCGCATCCAGTCGCTGATTCGCATCGTGCGCGCGCCCCAGTTTGTCCATTCCCTCGCACGCTTCCTCCCAACAAACAAGTGCGTGCATCTGTGGATGTATGCCTGTGGGTCTGTGCCCGTGTTCGTCACCCTGTCTCGTATGTTGACATGTCACGCTGTCGCCTGCATTGTGTTCACCGCTACTGTCCCTGCACATGCCGCCCACCGCACGAATTGCAGAGTGACGGACGTGCTCAGCATGACCGGGCGCAAGACGGTATGCACTCACGCCTTGAACATCTGTACTTACTTCTCCCTCATCATCATTGCACACATGCACACATGCGCACACATGCACACAATGTAATGCGTTCACATCCCACCGCTCTCACGGGTGGCAGGTGTACGAGCTGTGGCAGCACCACCTCGCTGCCAAGGAAGAGCGCGCTGCGTTCCTGCGCCGCTGGGAGAGCGCCCGTCTCGACGCCCTCGTGTGCGTCTCCAGCGTCATGCCTGCAGGCAGACAGGTCTGTCTTGTATGTGTGTGTTGGGGGGGGGGTTGTTTGTGTGTCTGCGTGTCAGTGGTTCTGTCTTTCTGTTAGTCTGTCAAGCAGACACTGTCCTCTCGACGCTGTCGTTCACACTTACAACACGCACACATACACGACCGTGTTGATCACAGGGCACCTGCAGTGAGCTGACGCCGACTGTGTGGCCAACATTCATCTTCAACCTGCTGAACATGCCCGCTGGTGTCGTCCCCGTCACCCACGTGACCGTAAGCAGAGCGGCTGTGTGTGTGTCTGTGTGTGTGTGTGTGTGTTTCTGTGTTTTTGTGTTTTTGTGTTTCTGTGTGTGAGACCGTGCCCGTGTGTTTTGAGACAGCTCCTCCCTCGCCCAATGCATCACACAATCTTCGCACAAACGCTCTCCAACGCTGACGTGTCGTACCTATCCGCTCGTTCGACTTCACTTCCCCGCCTTCCCTTTAGATGGATGACGACTCGAAGCTCAACCACTACCGCCGCCGCGACATGCTTGACACCAAGGTGCCGCTCTGCTGCTATCCTCCCTTTACATACACACACGCACGCACGCACACACGTACGCACACACGCACGCACGCACACGCACACACGCACGCACGCACACGCACACACACACACACACACACACACACACACACACACACACACATACCTGCACATTCAAGCTGTCTCTCTCATACACGCATATCCTCCCTCCCCCTCTCCAGATCATCAAGTCGTGCCTTGGCAGCGAAGGTCTTCCTGTGACGGCGCAGGTTGTTGCTCTCCCGTACCAGGGCGAGAAGTGTCTTCGCGTCATGAAGGAGATTGAGACTGTTGTTGGCGTCTCGGGCCCTGTTGAGCCCCCGTTCTAACACGCACGCGGTTCCCCGCACACTGTTTGGGCAGTGTGCTTGTGGCGAGTGGCTTGTTCTGATGCCCTCTTGCCATCTTTCCGATGTGTGTGTGTGTGTGTGTGTGTATGTTTGCTTGTGTTGCTACTTCTGCTGTTCGTTTATCGTTACGTCTGCATCTGAATCGAAACACGAATCAGCCAGCCACTTATAGCCGACCACGACACACACATACACACACCACAGCATCACTGTGCAAACTCTCCACCAAGAAACCGGTCCACAAAGTCTGCAAACGTGGGCGCAATCACATCAGGTTGCACGCCACTTTGCTCCAACACGTGTGCCGTGTACTTCCCTGCAGCGTTGAGCATGGCGATTCGACAGAGGGTGTAAAGCGTCACGGCTGTTGTGCGCGCAAATACACACACGCACGCACACACAGTCACACACACGCACACAATCACACGCACATAACGGACAAACCTGTTTGGACGAGCACACCACGACACCCGACGCGTTGTGCGCCGGCAACATCATCGTTGATGTCCTGACGGCATGAGTGCGCGCACAAATCCGACTCGTGTGAGCGTGCATTCACTGTGCCAGCATGCATATGAGATGTTGCAACAGAGCGCATTCACACACTCACAGCACGCAACAAACACACACGCATGGTGGACACACACAGATGCATCAATGTCTGCCTTCTCCACCTACGTCTCCAATCATGAATGTATCTGCTGCTGAGGACCCGAGGTCATCTGATGTCGCAAGTGCCCACCAACACACATGCACACACAATGTAATGGGTGGTTCATCCTGACATCATTGACGTTCCAACAAGAACGCACACACAAACACAGGGCTGTTACACCTCCGCAACCTGCCTTTCGCTAATCCTCTCTGGTCGCACAGCAATGGTGATGTTGCGCACACTCATCGCACCACCTCTTCTCATGCCCCAGGCTATGGCTTGTGCGCCTCACCGAGAGCGAGTTTGAAGAAGTCTGGGGATGGCTTGCCAACAATGGTGGCCTCCTTCCCTGACGCATACTCGAGTGCCGCCACCACGCTGCCAGCAGCAAGGTCGTTGCCATGCTCGGTCTTGTAGTACCTGCACATTGCAAGTGCGCGTGTGCATTTGTGATGAATTGGTCGAGAAACAAGGATGCTTGAGCTCATGCCACATGTCGAGGAAGCGAGGACGCGCCGTTTGCAACCAAGTACGAACACATGCACGCATGCATCCATGCATTGACATCAACGCGGATGGTCGTATCCGGCCACGTCCTTCGGTTGTCACATTCATCTCTCCACAAATGCAAGAGCCCACCTGCTTTTGTTGATGGCGATCAGTGTTCCGCCCTGGAAGAGGATGTGAAACGCTGCGTTCATGTGGGCGTAATCAAACTTCTCCGGGGCCAGCCCAACAACGACGGCGTTTGGATTGGACTGCTCAACATCTTCAAAGTCTTGCATGACCGAATCCCGCAGCAAGAACGCACACCTGTGCATGTGTGTGTGTGTGTGTTGTGTGAAAGACCATGAGCATTGTGGTGGCCCGAGTACGCAACAAGGCAAGTTGCATGCTTGTTGGCACTTCACTTGCATGTGTGCAGATGTGAGCTAATTCAATCTGTCTTGCCTCAGGTTCCGGCTGAGAATGAGCCTCCGTGTTGCTGACAACGCCGTGAACACCTCTGTGTGAACGAAAATGGGCATCAAATCACAGATGTACAACATGAATGGAAGGCATTTGAGTCGTTGCGCTACTGCGCCCCACATTGCAGCACACACGCACACACGCACACACGCACACACGCACACACGCACACACGCACACACGCACACACGCACACACGCACACACGCACACACGCACACACGCACACACGCAAGTGCATGCACACACGCACACGCAAGTGCATGCACACGCACACACTCTCGCACACGATGTTGCAGCGTGATGTGACTGACCCTCGTCTCGTACATCGAAATTGTGTTTGCGGAGGCGGTCCACAATCGCTTGTCGCGACTCCTTGGATGTGTTTGTGATGATGCGAAAAGGCACGCCCGCTTCCCTCAGGCGCTGAAGTGCTTCCACAGCACCAGCCGTCGGTACATCGCCAACCAACAACGTCCCACTCACATCAATCAACACCGGCATGACGCTCGGTGCATCAGTGAACGGTCAAGCAACAAGCAAGCAAGCAACAAGCAAGAAGGAAGTTGTTCTGCTCTGCTTTCTCTTCTTCTGTGTTGTCCTTGTCGAAAATTGATGAAGAACTTTGTCATTTTTCCACGACACGCACACGTCTTCTTGTTGTCCCCCAGTCAGCAGCCAGATCGAACCATCCATACGACTGCTCCAAAAGAAGAAGCCAAGAAAAGCAAACGAAGATGCGTGTTGCTGCTGTTGCTGTGCTTGCCGCTGTGGCATGCTTGATGGCGGCGGGCTGCCAGGCAGAGAATGTACAGACGGCTCGGTTTGTGAAGGCCGCTGTCAGGGATGATGGTGATGCTGCCTCGTTTGCGCGCTGGCTGGTGCACAACACCACGTATGGCGTGATGGCCACCAACAGCCGCCAGTTCTCCTACCCCTTTGGCAACATCTTCTCCTTCTCCGACGGCCCCGTCAACAACGCGTCGGGCCACATCTACTTCTACGCTTCTCCGCTGGACGCCTCTGTGCATGATCTCCAGGCCGATCCCCGCTGCTCCCTCACCGTCACCCAGGAGGACACCGGCACTTGCGCTTTGGACCCAGAGGTATGGTTTGTGTGTGTTGTTGTTGTTGTTGTTGTTGTTGTTGTTGTTGTTGTTGTTGTTGTTGTTGTGTGTGTGTGTGTTTTGTTTGTCGAATGTGTGTGTGTGTGTGTTGTTGTGTTTGTGTGTGCCTCTTGTGTTGTGGGGTGTGTGTGCTTTTGAACTGCACATGCGTCCGCCTCATACCTTGTGTTCTTGCTTTGGCTGTGCGTGAACACAGGACCCGACCTGTGGTCGTCTGACATTCATGGGACGCGTGTACAACGTTTCCTCGGCCGAGGAGCCTTTTGCCAAGGAGGCCATGTTCAGCCGTCACCCTGAGATGAAGAGTGAGTGCTTTTGTTTGTTCTGTACGTGCCTGTGTGTGTGTCTGTGTGTCTGTGTGTGTCTGTGTGTGTGTGCGTGTGCGTGGCGTGTGCCTGTATCTGTGTGTCTGTGTCTGTGTCTGTCTCTCTTTTCTGTCTCTTCACTCTGTCTCTTTGTCTCTCTGCCTGCCTGTCACTGCGTGTCTGCGTGCTCGCCTCTTTGTCTGTGTGCGTGCGTGTGTGCCACCTTGCTTGTTTACGATGCACTCTCTCCCACTCTCGGTGCTTCTATTCACACCACACTGTTCTTTGTGCCTTTCTTGTTTCTCACATTTTGTCTCTCTCACCCCTCCCACCATCACCTCCACCTCCACCGCTACCACTACCACCACCACCACCGCGTTTAGACTGGAGCCCTGGTGGCTCACACCAGTTCCGCTTCATGGCGCTTGAGATCCACCAGCTGTGGCTCGTCAACCACTATGGCGGCGCGGCCATCATCGACCCGGCGGACTACTACGCCGCCAAGCCAAAGCCCCCATCAACCAAGCGCACCTGAGCGCCTGCAGCCAACGCAGATGCGCATCTGGGACGCATCTACCCCATTTGTTTTGTGTTTTTTGTTTCTTTTCGTTATTGTTACACATGATTGAACCATGAGCGCAACCCACACAAACAACCATAATCACAAGCGCACTTCCCTGCTTGCTTGCTTGCTTGCTTGCTCGTTGTGTTTGACATCGTCTGCTCCTTTTTGTGTCTTCCTTCCTTCCTTCCTTCCTTCCTTCCTTCCTTCCTTCCTTCCTTCCTTCCTTCCTTCCTTCCTTCCTTCCCCCCCCCTTCCTTCCTTCCTTCCTTCCTTCCTTCCTTCCTTCCTTCCTTCCTTTCGTCTTGCACACCACACTGACGCAGGCAGCATTTGCGCCTTGTGCCCTCTTGTGCTGCTGCTCTTTGCGTCACACACATGCGTCCAACCTTGCAACAACGCCAACAGCAACAAGCGCTTGCTGCCTCTTCTTGCCTTGCGTGCTCACCTTGCTTCCTAACGGATCCCAGCAACAACTCCAACAACAATACAACCATCCCCGCGCACATGAACTGGCAAGAGACAAAGCACACACACACACACACACACACACATCCACACACAACAACAACAACAAGCAGGTTTTGGTTGCATGCAAGCACACACGAAAATCCCCAAACACACGAAAATCACCAACACGTTGTTGTTGCTGTTGTTGCTTCGCCACACACACACACAAACACTCACGCAACGTGCCAACCCCCCACACCACAACACTTCTCTCGCTCGTGAGCTTGATGTGGTGGTTCCTGCGTGCCACCATCACCGTCACCGTCACTCGGAGCTCGAGCTGACCCTTACTTCCCTTCCTCCTATACACACCGTCACACCTCTCACTGCCATGGCGTCTGGGTTTGCCGTGTTCCTTGCCTCGGTGGGCGCAGTGGTGTCGTTCTTGATGCTATGGGCCACGGGTGCAAACGACGTGGGCAATGCCTTTGGCACGGGCGTTGGCACGGGCGCATTCACGTACCGCACCGCCGTCATCATCGCCGCCATCTTTGAGCTTGCGGGCGCCAGCCTCATCGGCGCAAACGTTGTCGACTTCATCCAGTCCAAGTTCATCTCCCTCGAGGACTTTGGCGGTGATGAAGAGCTCTTTGCCGCAGGCATGTTCGCCGCCGCCGCAGGCACGTTCATCTGGGTCCTCACCGCCACCTGCTTTGCCCTGCCCGTCAGCACCACCCACGCCATCGTCGGCGCTGTCATTGCCTTCGTCATCGTGCAAGGAAAGGCCAACAACCTCAGCGGTACCGCGATCGGAGGTGTTGCTGCCGGGTGGTTCACGTCCCCAATCCTCGGCGGTATCATCTCCGCAGTCATCTACCTCCTCGTCAAGGTCTTCGTCATGGAGAAGCCCGCGCACGTGCGTCGCGCCCGCCACGCCCTACCACTGCTGCTGGCCGTGACGCTTGTCACCGACGTTGTGTTCATCCTGGTCAGCGGGCCCGAGCTGCTTCGCCCGTCCCACCTCAGCCCTCGCGATGCCTTCCTGCGTGTCTTCTTCCCGGCCATCGTCATCACAGCCGCCCTGGCATACGCCATCGGCCGCTACCTCCTCGTGCCCTGGGTTGCCCGCAACCTCCACCGCTATCGCATCGAGTTCCAGGAATTGCACACGTACGAGGAGAAACGTGAAGGCAGGGCGCATACAGACGAAACGGACGACAATGGTCAATGTGGGGCCGGTGAGCAACAGCTGCAGGCAAAGAATCAGGCGCATGAAGGAGCAGAAGCCAACAGGGACGAGGACGAGGATGATGATGTAGAAGACGACGGTGAGCACGAGTGGCGGTTCCGCGCCGGCATCACGCCTGATTCGTCCGACACCCTCAACACAAGCGTGTCCACAGACGCCATGAGCAACCACCCTCTGCTGGCGGAGTTGCGCACGCCGACCACCGCCAAACTGGAAACAGCGGCAGACACAATTGCACGGCGCGAGCAGCGCGGCCGCACACGAACGCGTGACAATGGTGACTACGATGAAAACGGGTACGGCGCCAGTAACGAAGACAGAGGAGAAGACGGCACAGGTTGCGCTTCTGACAAAGATCAGAAGCTGAATGGTGGCAGAGTACAGACACAGGGCGGCCTGACCGTTGAGACCACGCGCAGCATGTACGAGCAGCGGGCAGCGAGCAGACGGCGCCGACACAGACGTAGCCCTCACGTGCTCTTGCGAAAGCTGCTTGAGGTGAGCGGCGAGATGGAAGAGGAGGATGATGACAGTCAGCACCGAGGAAGAAGCGCGAGCCACATCAGTAGAGGGAGCGAGAGAAGTGCCAGTGTCAGCAGCAGCAGCAGCAACGACGACGACGACGGCAGCGACAGTGACAATGGTCGAAAAAGGAGCAGTAGCAGTAGCAGCAGTAGCAGCAGCAGTCCAGGGAGCGAGTCCCGGACTCGAGCAAGAAGCGCATCATTCAGCGGCAGGAAGAGCGGCACATGTGATGGTGCAGCCAGTCCGCCATCACCCCTCTCCTACAGCACAAGCAGTCAGCAAAGAAGAAGCAGCGACAGCCGGGACAACAACAATAGCAGCAGAGGGGTTCCACAAAGCGTGCATGCAACAGCTGCTGAGCGTGAACCCTTGATGCCAGTCGACGCAACTGCAGAAGCAGATACTCGAGGCCGCACCAACACTGTTGCTGGCGGCGACGATGCCGGTGGTGGTCGTGATGAGAGCGCATGTTTGCGTCGCGAAGGTGAACGTCATATCCACGTGAGTGCGGGTGCTCGCTCGCCGCCCACACCAGAGGATAGAGCGCGCGTGGAGAGGGCAACACACGCCGACCACCCCAGGCGCGCAACAACCGTGGTGGAGCGCACGGAACGACGAATAAGGGGTACCGTGTCCACATCCAAGCTCAGAGAAACGTCGTTCAGCAAACCAAAGATCATGCACAGCGTAACGCCACCGCAGCGCAGACCAGTACCGGCAACAACAACAACCGCAACAGCAGTAGCAAAACCAAATAGAGCGGCGGTACCATCTTCTGTCATGCAACCGACGCCACACGCGACAGGTGTAGCCACAGACATGAAGGAGGATGACACGACGTCACCAGCCGTCGCATCCGTGACAACTGCAACAACGACACCGACAACGGCGTCGGACTGGCCATCGCGCCTGTTGTGGAAAAGCGTGGGCTCTGATCGCACCATCACCCGCACCTCCGACATTGCCAGCATGCGGCGGCGATTGCTTGGCCCCGAGGCCGTTGGTCGCGCTGATTCCAGGTCGCAACACGCTGCCATTGGATTCCCTGCACGCACAGTCTCGCTCGGCGGAGCCACAGCAGATCCAACGCCACTGCCCATTGGCATTCATCGCCCGCCATCGGCCCATGCCTTCGTGGGCGCGGCATCCGTGTCCGTGTCTGGGCATGCCGTGTCAACCTCCACGTCGCAGCGCCCGTTTCACCTCCTGAACACCAGCACAGCAAGCAGCGCTGTCGCAGCTGGTGCTGACAAGAAGCGGCAGCGACCCACTGCTGTGCCTCCACGAATCACACCAACACCAACACCAACACCCCCAACGACGCCGACAGCAGTGACTCTTGACAACACCAGCATTGGCGAAGTCGGGTCTACCCGCACAACAACGACGTTCGGTGCCCACGCCGCGACGCAACCGAACGCCGACGAAAGAGGTGTGGGCGGCGGTGAAGTGAGCGCGGAGGACGAGGAAGTGCGCAAGCTGACGGCGGTGCTAGAGGCGCGATGCGAAGAGCATGCGCAAGCACAGCAGCAGTTTCGGAAGAAGATGCACTTTATTGGCGGCATTGATCCCAACGCGCGTGTGATTGATGTGGCGGTTCATGACGCGAGCACGACGGGAGAGCGTGAGCGTGGTCGTCGCCGCAGCCGGGGTGACAGAGGGCGACGCTGGAGCCCTGATGCTTTTGACATGCGCAGGAGTGTGTCGCCCGTCTCCATTGACATGCGCACCCCAAGCCCGGACTTCCACCACCACGTGCGCTTCTACGGCGCGGCAGAGGCGTACTTTGCGCCGCTCACGCTTGTCAGCGCGTGCACCGTTTCCTTCGCACACGGAGGCAACGACGTCGCCAACGCAGTGGGCCCATATGGAGTCATTGCTGATCTCGTGGCCCCAGACAGCCTGGACACGTCCCTGCCGGTTATGCTGAACATTGTGGGTGGCGTTGCAATTGTCACGGGCCTGCTCATGTACGGGTACCGGGTCATGGAGACGGTTGGCTCCAACATCACAAAGCTGACGCTGTCCAAGGCGTTTGCGGCGCAGTATGGTGCCAGCGTGAGCATCCTGTGTGCAACCCTGATTGGCCTACCCATATCCAGCACCGCTGTTCTCATCGGGTGTGTTGCCGGTGTTGGCTTGGCTGACGGCGACCCCAACGCTGTTGACTGGAAACTTCTGCGAAACGTTGTGCTCACGTGGATCATCACTCTCCCCTGCAGTGGCGCCATCTCTGCACTCGTCTACGTTATTGTTCGCTCCATTCGCTAGGATTGCGTTTGAGAATAGATATGTTTGATGCAATGTGTGTCTGTGTTTGTGTCTGTGTGTCTCTGTCTGTGTCCGTGTCTGTTGCTTTTTCCGTGTCCGTGTCTGTGTCTGTGTCTGTGTGTGTATGTGGTACGACACACACGCGTGCGTTTGTGGTACTGGTTCTCGCCTCGCTCGGATGCTCGCTTGTTCACTGTCTATCTGTATTCGATATGGCTAACGTAGTAAAGTAACACGCACAACACAACACCTCGATCGAATAACGTCACATCCACGTGGTACATGATGACGCGAATTGCGTTCTTCGCCCACGATTGCTTGCATGCAATGCGGAATGTAACATTATCTCACATCATCAGCTACCCATCAACAATTGGCAGCACAACAACATAACAAGCGCACACACGCGCGCGCGCTCACCAGTCGAGTGTTCACCGCTGGTCGTGACTATGGACGACAATAGACGCCATGTCCATCTGCGGCAGCTGGATGCGATTGGCGCTATCGCTGCTCCGCTCGCGTGGCATGACGCCAGTCAGGGATGTTTCCTGCCAACGAGTGCATGTGCGGTGGCATGTGAAAAAGGGTTCGAGTGTGTGTGTGTGAGTGTGTTCGAGAGTGCGTGAGTGTGTGTACGTGTGTGCGTGTGTGTGAGTGTGTTTGTGTGTGTGAGTGTGTTTGTGCGTGTAAAATCGACGACGTGGTTCCAGTGTCTGCGTGTGTGCGCTACCAACACGCAAGTGTCAACTGGGTTATGCAGCTGTGCTGTCAAGCAGCAGAACACTTCGACTGCGGCATACAACGAATGCACGTGTACCTCGAACGATGACGCAGAAAACATTCCAAGAAACGGCGAGAGATCAACCTATCAAGGGGATGCCAGCAAGTAGCAAAGAGAACAGTTGGGTGGTTGTCAGCAGCAAATGGGCACTGCAAATAGTTTATCACGGCTGCGCAGCGTCACACGTCCCACACAGTGATCGAACACGCAACGCAACGAATAAACCAGCATTCAAGCCTGGCTGCTGTTGGGATCACAGCCGTGGCGACAGCCCACAGCACCCCAACAAAACACCAACACCAACACACACACACACACACACACACACACACACACACACACACACACACACACACACACACCGCGTACCTCCAAATCCGCTGGTGTGCCAGCATCTGTGTTGCCCAAACAGGAGCGTGCCTGCAAGCACGCGATGCGACGGCGGTGCAACACAAGAAGCGTGCGAGAGCGGCTGGCGTGTGGCGGGTGAGCCCCAACGATGGACCGAAGCTGAACCAGGTGCATATCGGGGGACATGGCGGGCTGTGTACGGTGGAAGATGGCATGGGAACGACACACGGTGATTAGGAGGAGGCAAGCACGAGCGTTGTGGATTACGACGGATGCTGACACACACAAGCCATGTGAAGACAGGGTGGTTGTAATTGTGATGGTGAGGATGGCCATCATCGGGACTGTCGCGCCTCTCCTGCACTACAGCAGCATCTCGCATCGTACCAAAGCCACTGGCGACAACTGCGCTTGGTGCTGCTGCTCCTCGTGCTGCTGCTTCAGCACACACAGCATCGGAGCAAAGTTGAGCCTATCTGATATGGTGTGTGCCTGCAGGGACGGCGAGGGCACGTGATCCCTTTGCACAGCGCTGGACGAAGGGCGGATGGCTTCCAGATGCAGCACAAACTGCAGACACGCGCGCGCGCGCGTGTGTGTGTGTGCGTGGATGTATGTGCGTGTGCGTGTGCGTGCATGCGTGCGTGCGTGCGTGCGTTGAGAGTGATTGATTCAAATGCGCGAAACGCCCAATGCACAGACCAAGCATATGCAAGGCAATCGCAGTCAAGCAAACAAAAACCCAACTCAATCACACACACACACATGCACGAACAAACAAACACACTTTGGATGTTGTGATGTGGTCCGCAGCAATGCCTTCCCCAAGACCAAGGTTGTCATCGCGCGAGTGTGTCCGGCCAACCATCGCCTCCAGTTGTCCCTGAAACAAGGAACGCGTAATTCATGTGTGTGGATGTATGTGTGTGTGTGCGCGTTCATGTCGGTTGTGTGAACACCGGTAGTTGTGCAGCCGCAGTGAAGTGCAAGACGTCATAACACGCGCTCTTTCCCTGTTGAGTGCCGAAATCGGCAGGAAGATTGGAAGGATAGCTTACCTCTGCGAGCGAGGCCATGCCAAGTGCCGTGTTTGTGTGCAGAGTCAGACGGCGGGTGCTGTCTTGCACGAACGCAAGCAGTGTTGCTGGCATGTACTGCCCGTTGATGCCCACATCCTCCCGTCGCACTTTTCGAGTCACCTGAGCACGCAACGTGGCGAGTTGGTTGAATGAGGGGTTGGATGATTGGCTGGACTGTTGAATGGACGGTTGGGTTGTTGCAAATACAGTAGAAAGGGGAGGGAGGAGGCCGAGATGGCACGTCGTTGTCGGTGTTTGCCCATGGACACACACACACACACGCACACGCACACACACACGCACACACAGACACGCACACACACACACACACATAAAGCATGACTGCCCAAGATCACCACATACTTGGAAGCCGTTGAGATCAAAGAACGCGTCGGTGCCCGCGGCGATGTCGGTCTGGTGAAAGTACAAGTGACCAACAGCAGCACAACAGGGCGTCACGACAGCTTTGAGGACAAAGATGATGCGCGTGTATGCTGAAAGCTCAACGACATTGGACCGCAAACGCACTCACATGCGCACATGTATGCACATACAAATTCACGCACACATGTATGCACATACAAACTCACGCACACATGCGTGCGAACGCACCTCCGCACAAGTGCATCATCAACACTGACAACACCAACCGACACCATTCAGCAGAACCAATCCTACCTTGACTCTCATCACGAGATCGGCTTCCTGGAGATAGGCCTTCATGACAGTGGATGTTTTCTCCACAAACTCAAACTTTTTCTTTGGTGGTGCCTTTCCTTCCTCTGCCTTGACCGCACGCTAACAACATAAACATCCACGCGCGCCGGCAAGAAGCAAACCGACAGCCGCCTGTGAGTGACATGGGATTCTTGTGCGAAATTGAAATGCAACAGTACAGTGTGTGAATGCACACGTATCAACTGAAACAGCTGAAACGAAAGCACATTAGCAACAACGACAAGTAGAACACGCATGTGACGTGATGGGATGTGACACGGGACACGTTCGCAATCAGGTGTGCAGGCAAGCGGCAAGATCCACGAACCTTCACCCTTCGCCGCACGGTCGTTTCATGCTTCACTGACATGTCAATCGTGTTTTCAATTTCAACAGCGGGTCCAAACCCAACCTGCACGAGTCCGAGAGGAGTGTGATGTTGCAGTGGTAGAGGCGGTGCGGTGGAAGTGGTGGTCGTGACGGTGGCGCCAAAATTCGCTTTCACTTAGCAGAGAAACACAACACGAGCGACAAGCTTCGCGCGCAGATGCACGTGCCACGTTGGCATGCGGAAACAAATACACACACACGCACGCACACACACACACACACACACACACACACGCACGCACACACACACACACGCACACACACACACACACACACACACACGCAAACCCGGTTGCAGTTCTTGTACTTACATCCTGGTTGAAGAGACGAAGGGTGTGGCGGAAATGCGTGGTTTGGACTTGTACCTCTGACACAAATGGGCCCTGATTTGAAGCATACATAGGAAACCCCCCGTTACAATGCACATTCAGTGTCACGACGGGCGTTGAAGATGTACAGCACCAGGGTTCTCTCATGTTACAAGTCGCATGTCTCGATGCGCGATTGACACGCACACACGCACACACACACAGGGAGAGCGGCACCATGTGGATGTGTGCATACACGCCACACAGCTGCAGTCATTCACACCTTGATCACGTGGATAACAGTGCCATTGAAGGTCTGATAAGGCTTTGCAGGCCCGTCTGGCATGAACAGATATGCGCCGCTGTGATCGTCCTTGCCGGTCCTTCAAAGGCAACGCAAACAGAGACGACAAGAGCAAACAGCAGAAGAAGAAAAAGTAGGCGGGGAGGAGGAGACATGAGGCATTGGGCGCACGTGTACAGCATTTGATTGAAATACAAGTGACATGAATGCGAGTGAGTGCAAGTGTGCAACTGCAAGTATATGCGTGCAAGATTGAAGCGCTCGTTTGGACGTGGACACAGAAAACAAAGAGTGGCAGCAGAACAACAACGCGCGAGCACATGCACGCATGAAATGCGCACCTGGAAGTGTAGATATCAAACGAAATGCCAGCGTGTACGGTGTTTCCACCAGCTGTGATGGACTTGAGATACCCGGTTTGCGCGTCACACGACACTTCAACGTCGCCAGAACGAACTACAACGTCGTCCTGTGGGTCAAACGCTTCAACGCTGAAAGTGCCCAAACCCTGCTCCTCCGCAAGCCTGGCGGATGGTTTTGCCCCGTCGCGGTGAGCAATTTGGATTGTTGGCACTGGTGGCTGCTGCGCTGTCGGTGTGGCGTGGAGCTGACGGCGTGTGCATATGTGTATGTGTGAGTGTGTGTGTGTTGAGAGTGTGTGTGTGTGAGTGTGTGAGTGTGTGTGAGAGAGTGAGAGAGAGAGAGAGTGTGTGTGTGTGAATGCACACGTGTACTTGCACGTGTATTGGCGTGAGTACGTGAGTCGGTACACGAATGCATGTGTACATATGTGTGTGTCAAAGATAAGAAAGGGCATATGAGGCAAGTACACGAGGAACAAGCCATGCAACAGCACCAAATACTGGCATGTACGTGCATTCACGCCACACCTGAAGAGAGACCACGGACAGTGGCGCGACGGTGACAGTGAACCAGAGGGCAAAAATATCCTTCACTGGAAGACCGTCGCTGTCAAACACAGGCATTAGCTGCTGCGGAACCGGGATATCATCCTCTGCAAAGTATCATGGAGGTGCACGCATGAGCCATTCATACGCATCATTGATGGGTGGCCATTGAAGAGGTGGGAATGTGGTTGAGGGAGGTGAACACACGCACACACACACACACACACACACACACACACGCACACACGCACACGCACAAGCACAAGCACACGCACACGCCACACCAGCAACAAACGAGCAAGCAAACGTTGGTCAAAAGCGTACGTGATTTGAGTTGAACGTGGGGAGAGCTGACGAAGATGCGGAGGGGCCCCGAAAACGGCTGCAAACTCGTGTTGGGAATGGACAGCACAGAGCTGGACGAGCAAACACGGGGGAGCAGACAAACAGTAGGAAAAGGGGTGAATGAAGCCTTGGTGTGAGGTGAAACAGCACGCGGTGAATTGTAGAAATCGCGTGTCCCCCAAAACCGCGACAACAACAACTTAAACTTAAAACAACAACAACAGCAACTTAAACAACAACAACACCACCACCGCTACCAACAACAACTTAAATCAACAACAACAACAACACCACCACCACCGCTACCAACAACAACTTAAATCAACAACAACAACAACAACAACAACAACAACAACAACAACAACAACAACAACAACAACAACAACAACAACAACAACAACAACAACAACAACAAAAACAACAACAACAACAGGGGCTCCGTTCCGCACCTCGCGTCTGGTGCGAGTACATCATCTGTGATGGCATACGCGAGATCAAGCATGCGCTGCACAGACGTCACATCCACTGCTGCCAATCCAACAAGTGACGCCAGGCTGCTCGACGCAACATCCTGCATGTGTGTGTGTGTGTGTGTGTGTGTGTGTGTGTGGGTGTGGGTGTTTGTGTGTGTGTGCATGTGTGTGTGTACATGTGCACTCGGGAACGTGCGTTCCACACCAAGCGAGGTGCGTTGCTTGCGGAAACACGCTGCTGACTGTAGCCGGAAACAATCCAAGCTGAGCACACAAACATGCCTCATGAAGCATCAGCGCAAACAAACACACCAGCAGCCCATTGACAGCAATCTTGAGACGCCGAACGTAGTCGTTGACCACTTTGATCTTCGCCGTTCCAGTGATGGCTGTTAACCACAACGTGCAACACAAACACGCCACCACAATACAACACCAGGAGAACAGGCGGGTGCAAGCGGGTTGCATCACGCGAAACGTGTTCAGCAGGAGCACAAGTGTCATGCATGCCACGAGCGAAGCAAAGCAATCGAATGAGGTGAACCACCGAAACAGGGTGTGCGTAGAAAGACACCCAGTGTCCACAACAAGACCCAGCACAGACAACCCCTTCCCCGACACACCAAAGCAGCGCAGGAGACACACATTCCAATGCATGAACATTCCCAATGCACAAACACAGCAACAGCCATGCTCACCATCGTGGTGCTGCAAGATGCCAAGCTCCCGCCGGGCGCGTGTGAGAAATTGTCCGCAGTCATCACACGCGTGCGGTGGATAATGCAGCTGGTAAACACAAAGTTGCGCGAGTGCGAGTGTGTGGGTGTGGGCAAGAGCGTGAGAATTGTGACAGAGTGCCGTTAAGTGCGTGTATGTGTGGGTGGATGTGCGCATGGGCATCAACATGTGCGAGAAAGTTTGTGACGTGCATATGTGATGTGTGTGGCAAGATGAGTGCAGCTGTACGCTACATGAAAGGCGCTCGCCCACTATCCACATGTGGCAGCAAACAAATGCATGTCACTCAAAAGCTCCCCCCCCCGGCCACACACACACATACACAACCCTACCTTTGCAAGTGCAAGCGCGTGCAGCACTTCCGTGCTCTTCAGAATCCTTTCCAGCTCCCGAGACAGGCGCTTGAGGTATGTGCGCGTCGTGTAAAACCCTGCATGAGGGGGTGGCGGTTGTTGGGTGTTGCGAGCATGTTGATGTTGCGGACGTGCACTCGCGTGCGTGTGAGAGCAAGCCGTGTTGGAAGCCATTCAAAGAGCAGTGGTGGGCCAATCAAAGAGCACAACAAGCGTGCAAGTGTCCACACGTATGCACGTGCCTGTCCAGTAGTGGTCGCGGCGATCGCTGTAAGGCATGAAGTGCCCAGTCAGCGTTGGGTAACTGATGATCGTGGTGGTGATGTATGGTGACGGCGCATGGTGTGCAGTGAGCACGCGAGGGCACATTGTGGTGAGTGCAATCAAACGCAGCAGATATGAAGCGCTGTGTCTGAGATCACAAGTGTTCAGATCATGGACGGGATGAGCACAAGTATCGTAAGCGCATCTGTGAGCGGCGGCAGTGGATGTTTGGTCGTACGTTGTTGGTGTCGCCTTGTCTTCGATGGCGTTGAAATAGTCACGAAGGGTGCCAAAGCGAACGTTGACATTCAATTCCGGCTGTGAGTTGATCTGCACAGACAGACAGACAGACAGACAGACAGACAGACAGAGCGCGGGAGAGAGCGAGGGATTAAAGGTGCAGGTGTCAGGATAAACACATGAATGCGCATGGACACACAAGGGCCAGAGTTGTCGGTGAGAAGCGATCAGCACATGCAGGACAAACCACAACCACAACCACACACACACTACCACAAGCACACAAGCAAAGGCACAACCACGCGCAAGACGCACGATGTACATGTACGACAACAGATGCAAGGCACGCATGCACGCATGCACGCACGCACGCACGCACACGTGCACGCACGTATTTCATGATGCGTGTGTAGCTGTCGAGCTGGGCTGCAATCTCCTGGTGCGACGTGTAGCGGAAATCACCGCCAATCGGGTGCAGCACAACGTTGTTCTTGAACAGCAGCGCTTGTTTTCTGCAACATATGTGTGGTTGTGCGTTTGAACGTGTGTATATGCGTGTGTGCATGTGTGCATGTATGTGTGCATGTGTGTATGCGTATGTATGCATGTGAGAGTAAATGAGTGAGTTGGTGTGAGGACATGTATGTGTATATGGTTCACATCGTGTACATATCGTTTCAGCACACCCCATGCTGGCACTGCATGAGACGCAAAGTGGAACAATTCACTTGCGAGTGTGTGCCGCCACCACGGCGCACTAAACAGCGACCATCGCCATCACCTGTACTGTTCGATGAGTTGCAGCGCCGCGTTCTGTTCATACCCGGGGATGATCGGGCGAACCGTTGTCTGCATGGGACGATGGATGGTTGAGCAACACGCACGGCAATGGTGGCGGTGTACATGCAGAAAAAGTTGTACGTATATGCAAGAAGAAACCGCTGTGCATGTATGCAGCTGCACACACACACACACACACATACGCACAGATACGCACACATGCATACTTGTGCGTATCAGGTTACGCTTGCACTGGCAACTGACCTTTGCACCAAACTCGGCGCACTGCGGTGTCAGCTTCTTCTTGAAATACGCCAACCCAAAGTCGAGCTGGCAGCACACGGCATAGTCGGGGCCTGGCATCACGCACACAAACACGACAAGAGCAAAGGAATGACAGTGTGTGTGTGTGTGTGTGTGTGTGTGTGTGTGTGTGTGTGTGTGTGCGTGTGGGTGTGGGCGTGGGTGTGGGTGTGGGAGTAGGTGTGGGGGGGGTGCTATTTCTTTTTTCTCATTCCTTGTTTTCCACCCCTCTCAAAACACGCACATACACACATACACAAGTGTGTGCAAGGAGAGGGAGCAAGATTGCGACAATGGTAGTGAATGAGCTGTGCAAAACAGCATTGCATGAATCACAGCACTCACCGCACGTGTAGTGAACGTCATACAGGTAGAATGGAAGCGTGTGTGTCAGCACAGCCGTGTTTGCCGTTGTATCCCAATCTTGCTGCCACCTGACGTCAAACGTTCAATTCGCGGCAGACACCACGGTTATTCAATGAATAAACACGCGACGAACAAACCTCATTGCAGGTTCCGAACCAAAATAGCCACACACACACACACATACACACACACATACACACACATACACACACAGAAGGGCGACACAAGAGACAGTATCGCACCGGAAGACGAGTTCGTTGCGCTGTTGCATCTGCTGCTTTAGACGCCAGTGAATGCGATCAATCACCATGCCCTGCAGCGTAGATTTAACAAAACACACACACACGTACACACAAAGTGCACAAGCACACAAGCACACATGCATACACACACACGAGCACAAAGCACACACACGCAAACGAGTGCGCAAACATGTGAGCTTGTGGGTGTACATACATGGGATTTGCGTGCAAAACTACGTGGGTCGCCAGATGTGCATTCGAAGGTGCTGGAAAGGAGTGCGCCAAACCTTCAATCCGGCCTTGCTGTTGATAAACGCCATGGTGGGCGTGTGTCCAAACGGATCAACTGACCAGCCAGTCGCAGGCACGACGCCTGTTGATGTTACCAATTTGAAGGGTGATTGTGGTGTGTGTGTGTGTTTCGTGAGGAACAGAGGTGCAGAGTGTTGTGGGCGGTTGATGTGGTGATAAGGGGCTGCTTGAAAAATGACAAAAAGTGAAGGTTCCAAGCACAGTGGTGGCTACTGTCTCTAACGCGCCCTGGTAAACTCAACTGCACGAGTGCGTGTCCAGGTCCTCCCTCTCCTCTCCTCTCCAAACACATGGAGCAATTCCAGTCAGGCGTACAAGCACAAACACGTACACACGCATTTTCATGCACACACAGGTGCACGCACCAAATGTTTCGTTGACCCAGATCTGGCCCTCAATGAGTTGATCCACCATTGAGAAATAGTGCGAGCACGCCTCCTCCGTCATCACCCACCCTGGCGTCGTTCCAACGCAAACATGCACACACACACACACATGCGCGCGGCCACACATATGCGCACGACCACGTGTAGCCATACATTTGCATTCACGCACAGAGAGAGCAAGTGTGAGGATGACGTGGAACAATGGCGCTGCTATCACAAGCACAGTCATGTGCAGGTTGCGTGCACGGGTTGTAATTACACAGGCGCACACTGCAAGTTGTAGACCACACACACACGCACGCATGCATGCATGCATGCATGTACATGTGCACGCATTCACGCACCTCCTGTGACAATCTCCATCTGTCCACGCCGCACGAGGTTCCTGAAGGTTCGCCGGCGGTCAGGTGTTGCATCATGCCACCAGGCCTGCAGAAAACTGATCTCTGCCCAAATAAACTTGCGAAATGGACGAGCGGCCAAGAAATCCGTCACCGTGTCCAGGATGGCCTTTGTCTGCTTCTGGTAGTAGTCATCAAATGTGCGAATCCAACCTGTGTGCGTGTATGCATGTGTGTATGTGGGTGTGAGTGTTGTTTGATGACTTCCATAGTGTTTGTGTTCATTTGTGGTTGTGGTTGTGTATGTGCGCGCACGTGTGTATGCAACAGAGCTATCAGATGCAAAGCGCGGCGACGAGTGGGTGATCAACGCAACAAGGCCTACGCGCAACACGCACACATGCAGGCATGCGCTCAAGGGGCGCGTCAAGGACCTGGGTCGACGTGCGTGTGGGGCATGAGAATCACCTGGAAAGCAGACGAAGAGCAACGGAAGACACTGGGGGTGAGCGCTGGATACGCAGCCGTTGCCGAGCACAAGGTGAACACATCTACACCTCGAGCACCACGACTCTCACACGCACGCATGTACACGCGTACACACACGCATGCAAGACACTTGCCGAAACAAAACAAAACAACAACGCCCATCGAATGCACACGACAACCACCACCACCACCACCACACGTACTTCTAGCGGCTTGGCACGTGAAACGGGGGCGGTGTCGGGGTTGAGGTTCTTGGGATGCCAACCACGCGTCATATCAGAGAAGTCCACACGTGCTTGCATCTTTTCCACCTGCCACAGTGGATAGCGTGGTGGTGCATGTATGGTGTATGGATTCGTAAATATGTGGACGGGATGTGAGTGAAGGAAAAAGCGTCTGTGGGCACGTACAAATCCCCACATAATCGTCACTTCCGCACACACACACACGAGAGTGCACGCATGCACATACACACACGCACACGCTCACATATACAAATGCACACACACACACATATACACACGCACGCGCGCTCACATACACAAATGCACACACACACATATACACACGCACGCGCGCTCACATACACAAATGCACACACACACATATACACACGTACGCACCGTGGTGTCTGTCGTCGCCATACTGTTGCTGCTTGCATTTGTCAAGAGTGCAGCTGAGGACTGAAGCGGCCGCACCTCCTGCTGCCACTGCAGCGACCACGTCAACCCTGCTTCATCGCCTCTGCTGATATCAAGGGGACGCACCTTGGGCAGTGGTGGGGGTGTCTTCTTGGGTGCTGCTGCCTTCCGTTTCCCACCACCATCACCACCGCCGCCGCCGCCACCGCCACCACCTTGTGCCGCGCCCTCCTGGCCGGCAATCTGTCTTGCCCGTGCCAACCTCTGAAACTCTTCGCGCTGGGACCACGGTGTCACCTGCTCCTGTTCCTGTTCCTGTTGCTCTTGTTGCTTAAGCTGCTGCTCCTGTTGCCGGTGTGGCTTGTCGACGGGTGCCTCTGGGTGTTGTGCAAACTGCGCGTCTTTCCGCCTTTCTCCTGGGCCGTTTGGCCCTGCTGCCTTCTTGACCGGCTGCTTTTCAACGAGGTCGTCATCGTCATCGATGAGCCGCCCGTGCCTCTGCTGCCGATGCCTACGCATACGTTCTGAAACCTTTGTGGCGTCATCACCAACGGCATCGTCATCAATGTCTGTGTTGTGGCCTGCAGCACGCACACCGGGCCGATCCAAGCCGTCTGGCTTGCCACCACCACCACCATCTCCATCCCCTGCGCTGTCCTGCGCTTTCGTATTGCCAGCAGCATCGTCATCGTCGTCCGTGTCAGGCGGCGGACGCTGGTGCCGGAGCACCGGCTGTGCAACAGATGATGTGCCCGCCGTTGTTGATGTGGAGGACACGGCATCATCGTCTGCTCAGTGTGTGCAGAGCACATGTGCACGCGGGCACGCAAGCGATGGGGCATTAACACAGCGATGATGAATGGGTGGGTGTAATAAAAGCGCTCGGCAACGGCGTGGTAGTCTTCTCACACGCATAATCTACACGGAGACGTAAACACTCCGAAGCCGCCATTGCGCGTTGAAAGCAAAACAAGCATCATCACCACTGGCGGTGTAGGTAATGCAGCAGGGGTAATGGCAGTGTTGTGGCACACACACGTACACACGCACACGCGCAAACACACCCACATACACACATACACACACACACGCGCACACACACGCACACACACTCTCTCTCACAAACACACAGACACACCTGGATTGGCCGCCCCAGGGTCAGTACGCGGCGCTTGTTTCTTCCATGCTTGTTGTTGAGGCTTAAAGTCGTCGATGTCGTCGTCGTCGTCTTCTTCTCCCAGAAGCTGCGCCCTATGTTGTAGGCCGTCCACATTCCCACGCGATCCCTGCCGTTGAGACAGGCCGGCCTGGCCGTGTCGGTTTTCGTGTGCGTGAGCGTGATTGGCATCGGAGGGGACCTGGCGAGGCGTGCGTAGCCGTTGTCGCTCCACACTGGACAGGTCGCTGGTGGTGAACACCTGCGCCAGCAGCATCAGGCTCGTCACTGCGATCAGCCACCCCAGCACAAGTGGTGCCCACCGCTGTGACATCCACCTCATGATGATGGCTGATAGACGATCCCCGTCTCAAGTTCTTTCCTGCCACCTGTCACCTTGCAAGCAGCACCCAGCACCCAGCACACACACACACACCCACACACACACACACTTTGTTCTTCGCTGGTTGCTGCTGATCATCAATGAATGGCAATTCCGTTGTTGGTTGTCCGTTGCGCGGAAACGCACAAACACACGTGAAGAGGAAGGACCACAACGCATGCTGCTCACTGTCTCTTCAACTGTGTCTCCGAAGGTTAATTAAGATGGCGACGATTGTGATTGGGGTGAACCCACGCACAGGGCAGCAGGAGCTGCGACAGGAGGAGGAAGGCGCACAGTATGCAGCGCAGCTAACGGCTTCCACTTATGGTGATATGCTTCATGATCAAGAACGCGTACGTCTGCTATCACACTGCGCGTGCATGTGTGTGTGCGTGTGTGTGTGTGCATGTGTGTGTGCGTGTGTGTGTGTGCATGTGTGTGTGCATGTGTGGTGTGTGTGTGTGTGCGAGTGTGTGCGTCTGGGTGTGTGTGTGAGTAAGCATGTGTGTCTGTGAATGTGTGCTCAATTATGTGGCGTGAACCCCCCCCCCCCCCGCTTTCCCTTGGTTGCTCACGACAAAAGGGCCGCCGCCTCCGTCTGACGCTTGTTTGGCGCACCCTCCTCCACTTCCTCTCTGGTGCTTCTTCTTCCCCTGCCTTGTTGTCGATAGAATGCCATGTATGAAGCGGCCATCACGGCGAGTGTGAAGGCAAAAGGACAAGATGCCGTTGTATTGGATATTGGCACCGGCACGGGCCTTCTTGCGCTCATGGCTGCCCGCGCAGGCGCACGCCACGTCTTTGCCTGCGAAGTTCGTTTGTGCGTGTGTGTGTGTGTGTTTGTGCAGACGCCAATGGCTTCCTTTTCTGCCGCCAACGCAGGCACACTCGCTCATCTGACCACTTCCTGTTTTATGTCCCTCTACTGCAGGTGTTCCCTGCCATGTGTGCAGTGGCCCGCGAGTGCATCGCACCCAATGGCATGAACGACGTCATCACCCTCATCCAGAAGCGGTCTACCGACATGACAGTTGGACCTGAAGGTGCAGCGCGTGTACGTGTGTGTGTCTATGTGTGTGTGTGTTTGACTATATGTGTGTGTGTGTCTATGTGTGTGTGATAAGGGCACTCTCGTGGGAACTAAGCCCAGCAATGCCATGAGACCTGAAGTTGGAAACAGTCACTCGTTCACACACACACACACACACACACACACACACACACACACACCAAAACACGTGCAGGTGACATGCCTTTGCGGGCTGATATTATTGTGATGGAGATCTTCGACTCGGAACTGATCGGCGAGGGTGTCCTTGGTACCATGAAGCATGCTTTGGAGGTTGGTGTGCCTGCAGTGGATCGCTTGATTGGCCCCATGCTGGTGCTCATGACGATGGTGGTGGTGGATGATGGTTGTTGTTGATGCAGGAGACTGCGTGCGAGCGAGCGAGTCACGGCTGTCTGTTTCCGTCTTACATTCACCCGCGCCACACACACACACACACACACACACACACACACACACACACACACACACAAACACAGCACCTCGCAAAGAGCGATGTTACCGTCATTCCTTCAGAGGCAACGGTGTACGCGCAGCTGTGCTGGAGCCCTACGCTCGATGCCCTGCACCTTGTTGATGGCGCCACCGTTGGCCGGCGCACACTCAAGAGTCGACCACAGGTGTGGACGCGTTTGTTGTCATTGTGGATGAAGCATTGCTGGACACTGTGTCGCTGCTGACGCTGATGGACATATCTTTCGCTCAAACACGAAACACGAGAATTGTCTCAGCGCACACGCTGCACGTGTGTTCCGCTGCGTAGATGTGCATGCATGCGCCCTCGTGTGTATTTCAACATGCGTTCACCGGCTACAAGCACACACTACACGCACACACACGCACACACAAATCATTCTCTCTTGTTCTGGTATCAGGCACACGCCACGCCATCGCCGCTTGAGTGTCACCTCGACACGCTTCTTTCAGACCGGACAAATCTTTCAGAAGTGTCCCTTGTGAAAACCTTCGACTTTGCGTGCGTTGCGTGCCGTCCTCACTTGCGTGTGAATGTGTGAATGTGTGCGTGTGTATATTGCGTGTGTGACTGCTGATGTGTATATTGCGTATGCTTTGGTCATGTGTGCTCATGTACTGCATTGATTGCCAATGATGCAGAGACGCGCGCACCCTTGATTGGCCGGCGCAGCACACTGTCACCTTCGACCTCACACCTGAAGCTAAGGTGTGTGCTCGTCTCATGTCCCAACCGAGCGTACACATGCTCACACGCACGCTCACATGTACGCACACACGCACGCACACACGCACGCACACACGCACACACAACATGAGGTGGCGTTTTGCTCAACTGGCCTTCGTTCTCTTACCAACACCACAAACAGGACCACGAAAGCGCGCGCTTTGGTGGGTACACAGCAAACGCGCATGCTTGTTCCCGCGCACGTGCACACACACACGCGCGCATACACACACAAACAAACAAACACACAAACAAACAAACACACACACAAACAAATGCACAAACACACACACACACACACACAAACAAATACACAAACAAACAAACACACACACACTCTCGCTCGCTCTCTCACCACCCAGACATTCACGCATGTCCGCGCACACATGTGCTTTGCAGAGCGACACTGGCGGCAGCACTGGCAGCCGTGCGTGTACACACTGCCATCACCAGCAGCGCTTACACCCCCAGCTGCGAGGTGAGGAGTTACGTCTTGGTGTGTATTTGTGGCAATGTGCTCACCATGTGCATGTCAACCGTTTGTGTGCAATGCCAATGCGAAGGCGTATCGAGTCGAGTGCCCCACTCACACACGAGCAATCGACACGTGCGTGTTCTCTCTCTCACACACACACACTCTCTCTCTCTGACACACTCATACACACAATCTCTCTCACACTCTCACACTCACACACTCACTCACACACACACACTCACACACACACACTCACACTCACACACACTGTGCCCACCAGGCTAGCTGTCCGCCACGATGAGTATGCGTGGGCGTTTTCCCCGACCTCAGATGGCCTTGATGCACCACCTGATCCGCTTGCTGCACCACTGCCCCGCCGCCGCCGCGCTGCCCTGCACGACGCGTCATATTGGCGGTGAGCCACGTCATTACACACGACATTGGCTGTGGATGATGTGCTCCCTTTGGTTTGGTTGTGATGGCTGCGCTTGCGTGCGAGAGAGGGTTTGTTGGCTTGGTTGTCTGCCTGAGCTGTACCTTATGTGTTTGCAGGCATGATCATCTATGGGCTTGTTGTTTGCTTTCAACTTACGGCTTCTTCGTCCATGACGGCACACACATGCGTGCTCGATGGCATTGGTGTTGTCTGCATGTCTGTGCGTGTCAGGTGCTTTGAGCGTGCGCTTGAAGTTGCGCATGCGCAGTTGCAACGACCTCTGCGCGTGCTGTGGTTGGTCGTATTCATGTGCACAAGTGACCTTGGATGATGGTGTGTGATTGCGTGGTCGCGTCTTGCATCGCGCTTTTGCTTGTGTTGCGGTTTCGAGCATCATACGGCTCTCAACTATTGATGATGCCACTGTCGTTGTATGCACCGTACCAGTGTTGGTGATGCATCTTTCCTGCCAGTTGTTGCCGCGCAGCTGGACGTCGTGCACCGCGTGTATGTGCTCGAACAGAACTTCCTTGCTCGCGTAAGTGCAGGGCCGAAGATTGTGGCTTGAACTTGTTGTTTGTTGTTGAACGCTTGCTGTTTGCTGTTGCTTAAATGGTTTGGCGTTGTTGTTCGTTGATGTTGGTTGTTCCCATTGGCGTTGTTCGCACCACACTCTGCGCATCTTTATCACTCATATCCGACTCTCCTTGACCCGCGAGCATTACTGGTTGTCGTTGCTGTGGTGCAGCAGCAACTTACCCCTCACTTACCAACTATTGCTGGTCACAGGCGGTCACGAGCGTGTTCCCGGATGAGGATGCAGCCAAGGTGAAGGTGATTCGCGCCTCCGCAGAGGACGTCAATGTCTCCTTTTTGGACAATGCACCAGCCGATGTGCTGCTGGCAGAGCCAAGCTACCTCTTTGCAGACCTCCCCTGGCACACGTTCGTACCAGCCCTGCTGCTGTGCATGGTGTGCAAGTGCTTTTTTTTTTGTTGTGCGACTGTGCGTGATGGCCCGATGTTCAGTTGCACATGTATGTGTGCGTGTGTGTGTGTGTGTGCGTGATGACGGGAAGTGTTCGCCTTGGACCCGTATGCTGACGGCATGTGGGGTGCCTTCCGCAGGATTTGCTTCCTGTTTGAGCGGCTAGCGCTGCAATCGTGCCTGACGGACGATGCTGTCATCATCCCGAGTCGCTTCCATCTCATGGTGCAGCCGGCCGTGCTTCGTGACTACCACACACTCCGCCAGCCAGCCGACAATGTACAGTTGCACAAATGTGTGTTGTATATTTGTGTGTAAGAGAGAGAGTGAGTGTGTGTGTGTGTGGGGGGGGGGGTGTGGGTGGATCTGGATCGGTGTGTGTGTGTGTGTTGTGACTCTGCCTGTTTGTGTCTGTCTGCCTGTTTGTGTCTGTCTGCCTGTTTGTGTCTGTCTGCCTGTTTGTGTCTGTCTGCCTGTCTGTTTGTGCGTTTTCGTCGGTGCTATACAGGTTTGTGTTGTGATAAAATGTGCATGATTGAATATGTGCATGCGTGCTCTATGTGACCCGTCTTCGCGGTCCACAGGTATCTGGGTTTGACCTGAGTGCGTACGATCGAGCGTGTGCGCTTGCGTCGTGGGAAACGGTGTTTCTGCCCAACAATGGGTACCGCCTGCTTGCCGCCCCGCGCTGCATCCTTGACGTGGACCTCACCAGCCAAACCCCGCTCGACGCAGCTGGTGAGCACGTGAGGGAGGGTTTGTGCGCTGTGCGGGTCCACACGAAATGTTTGCGATGGGTGGGAAGGCGTTCATCGCTGTTGCTGCCACTCTTCTCGCGTTGCTGTCGCTGGTAACCGTGCTGCTTGTCTCTACTCTCTGCCTGCCTTCGTGTGCGTGTCCTGCCCTTGTGTGTGCAATTGCGATTGGTAGGGGAGGCCATGTGGCGCGCCGGCGGGAGGGAGCAGAGCAGCAGTGATGGCGACGTGGCTGGCCATGGCGGTGAAGCTGTTGCCAACTGCGTGCTTGCGTGGGTGGACTTCACACTGATCAGCGAGAACACATGTGATGCTGCAGACACTACATCTATCATCCGGGTATCCAACGCGCCTGGTGCGCTGCGCTGCCACACGGCCGTGCAGGTGCTCGAGCGGCCGTGTGCAGACAGCGCCCCTGCCACCACAGAAGCAGCCAAGCAGCAGCAGCAGCAACAAACGAGCGAGGAGGTCCAAGAGAGCGCGCCTTGTTTACTGGGGGTCAAGGCAGTGTTTGATCCCACGTCCGCAGCAGTCCACGTCAATGCAGCCTGGATGTGAACCACCCAGCACGCCACTGAGCACTGGCTCATCGACCTGCTCTGCTCTGCTCTGCTTACTTGGTTGGTTGGTTTGCGTCCTGTGCTGCGTGTTGTTCGGCAGTTGTGCTGATATCATAAATTGCACAAAGTAGTCATCACAGACGCAGCAGACAACAACGACACATCCACGGCGATGCCTGCGCTGGGGGGAGATGGACGAGTGTGGATCAACGTGGACTGCTGTGGGCTGTTCACAGCGACAATGACATATGCCCTCATGGTCCTTGGGCTTCTTGGTGCGTTGTCGTTCACCCCACCTCAACTCATGCTGGTTGTGTGTGTGTGTGTATGTGTGTATATGTGTGTGTGTGTGCGATGTGGTGTGCTGTGTGTGCGATGTGGTGTGCTGTGTGTGCGATGTGGTGTACCATCTTGTCAAGCCACATCGGAGAGGTTTTGGTACATGAGGACGCGTAGTGTCTGCAGATACTTGCTTGGAACTTCTACGTTGTGTTTGCCTCACACTGCCCCCGATGCAACGCTGCATGTCCGCTTCCCAGGCGCATTACATCTCCTGGACATTGGCACATCAGTGGGGCTGTTCCTCTTCTTGCTGTTGTTTGGGACCGTTTCGTTGGCGGGGCTATCGCACATGCGCTGCATGCTCACAGATCCCGGCTGTAAGTCATGCATCCGTCGTGCGCAGTGCATGTTACCAGTGCATATGGGTAGTGCATGTTGGCAGTGCATGTGGGCAGTCTCTGCATTCATCTCCCACACAAGACAACCACAAGAAGACAGCCCGTTCATTTCACACACACACGCGCGCGCGCACTTCTGCTGCTTACGTTGTAGCCGTTCCCTCGCTGCCGCGGGAGATTGAGCTGGAACATATTCCAAAGGGGGAGCTGCGGTTACGCAACGGGGAGTACGTGTCCGTGTGTCGCAGGTGCCACACGTACAAGCCCGAGAGGGCGCACCACTGCAGCGTGTGCGGACGATGCATTCGGCGCATGGATCACCACTGTCCCGTGAGCTGTGTGTGTGTGTGTGTATGTATATGTGTGTGTGTTTGTATATATGTGTGTGTGTGTGTGTGCTCGTGTGAGTGTGTGTGGGCACTGCAGTTGACTTCTCGCCATCGCGCTGCTCTAAGTTAATCCTCCATGGCTGGTGACCATCGATTGCTCACATTGCTTCTCTGCCAAACATGTCCGCTGATGCTTACCACTGCGGCCGTCGCATGAATCATGCACGTTCTCGCGAACCAGTGGTGCGTACAATACCCGCACTCGCCGATGCGTGTGCGCCGTTCCGCTTCCGTGGTTCCGTGCATGTCCTTGTTGTGCATGCAACTGTAGTGCATGCATTTGACTGCCACCTAACGATCTTGCACGCGCGCACCCTGCTGGCCATAGGGTGAACAACTGTGTGGGCGAGAACAACCAGAAGTTCTTCATCTTGTTTACGGTGCGTGGTTGGTTGGAGTGTGGCCTGCATGCTGCTGGTGCATCTTGAACTGATGTCGACTGTGACGTGTTTGCGCCGCCTGATCTCATCGCATGACTGTGTTGCATTGCTTTGCGACCTGAAACGCTGTTGTTTCCGCTCTGCACAATATCCAAAGGCATACATCTTTCTCTCGGCCCTGGTGCTGCTTCTCATCATTATACATCATTTCCGCTCGTGTCCAAGCCCACGAGGTGTTTACATGCATGCCCTCTCGGTATTGCCTGCTTGCGTAACTACATGTGTGCGTGCGTGTACGCTTGGGCACGTTCACGTGTGTGCATGTGCTTCGCAACAGCCTGTCATGTTTGTCCTTGGCGTTTGATGCAGTGCGGCGACCACCGCCATTCCGTCCCTCACAAACACACAAACACAGAAACACACACACACACACACACAAACAAACAAACAAACAAACACACTAACAAACACACACACACGCACACAAACACACACACGCGCGCATGCGTTGGACATGACATGACACTGCAGAGTGCATTTTCGATTCAGACCGGGCGTTACGACCGCTCGTGGTGTTTGGGCTGATCATGGAAAGCCTGTTGTTTGGCCTCTTTACTCTCATTATGACATGTGATCAGGTATTGTGGCGGGTGTGCGCGCTTTCATGTGTACTGCGTTGGGCAACGGTTGCCTCCCTTGCATGCGCATGCGCAGACCGCATCCTTGCTTGAATGCGTGTGCGTGTGTATGTGTGCGCGTGTGCGTGCGTGTCGTGTGTATGTAGGTGTAGGTGTATGTGTGTCATGGTGGTGGTTGTGTGGACGGCACTGTTGCCTGATGTTGATGAACTGCTTCGACTGACTGACGTCCACCTGCCCATCTGTCTTGTGTTTGCTCAGCTGTACAACATTGCAAACGAGACTTCCACCATCGACCGTATCAAGGGGTCCAAGTTGGGCAGAGGTGCGTCTGTGTGCGTCTATATGCGTCTGTGTGCGTCTACATGCCTGTATGTGTGTGTATCAGAGTGTGTCTGCATTTGCGTGTGGCGATCGAAGCTGGTTGCTTTGTGCTCTCACACTACGTGTCTTCGTCGCTATCCTATCCTCCGAATCCCTCTAACCACCCCCTCCCCTCCCTCGTCCTTTCAACGCGCGTGTTTGCAGCGGCCGAATCAACTGTAGACAAGCTACGAGTCGTTTTTGGTTCCCATCCTCACTGGACATGGTGCGTTTGTCCGTGTGTATTATTGAACATGCGCACTTGTGCATCTGTGGTTGCCTCTGGACTCCTTCCTACTTTGCTGGTCCATGACTGCGCCCTTCACACTCGTTCTTGCTCACATGCCCCCCTTCAACCATGCATCGGCGCTTCTCCAACCACACGCACACACACACACACACGCACGCACGCACGCACATACGCACATACACGCACGCACGCACGTACATACGCATAGGCTGCTGCCCCTTGAGGGTGCTGAGTTGCGGTTTCGAAAGAGACAGCTTGAGCATGTTGTGTAGCAAGAGCAGATGTCACTGCTTCTTCTTCTTCTTCTTCTTCTTCTTCTTCTTCTTCTTCTTCTTCTTCTTCTTCTTCTTCTTCTTCTTCTTCTTCTTCTTCTTCTTCTTCTTCTTCTTCTTCTTCTTCTTCTTCTTCTTCTTCTTCTTCTTCTTCTTCTTCTTCTTCTTCTTCTTCTTCTTCTTCTTCTTCTTCTTCTTCTTCTTCTTCTTCTTCTTCTTCTTCTTCTTCTTCTTCTTCTTCTTCTTCTTCTTCTTCTTCTTCTTCTTCTTCTTCTTCTTCTTCCTCTCTCGTGGTGATTGCTGGTTATCCTTAGCTACTTCGCGCCCGCTGTACACCTCTCAGCACTTCATGGGCAGCCTGCACAGCGGTGCTTTGATGCTGTGACAGCAAGGCCGCTTATGTCGTGTCATCATCACATCACATGAATCGCGTCAATGCTGCACTGTGTGCTGCTGTGGTTTTGATTGTTTCGCGCAGCTGTTGTACGACATGATAAAAGTTTTATGCTGGCCTCGGCGGAGAATATTTGCTCAAAGAAGAGCCGCTACAAGCAGCGACTACTGGCCCGCCACCATACCTTCATTGGTCGGAAGTGGATTCAGTCGCTCCCGAAGGCGCTGACCGCACCCACACTCTACCTTTGTCCAAAGCAGTGCCCGCGTCAAGGCTGCGCTGTGTAGTTGTAACTCCTTCGATCCCTGTTGGTTGATTGGTTTCGTGGCAGCCAGACAACGGCCTCTGAGTGAAACCCCGCACGCTGCAACCTCATCACCACCATCATGGCGGGAAAGGCTGTGTTGTTGGTGGTTGTGCTGGCTGTGCTGTCGTGTGTGCCGCACAATGCAAGGACTGCTGCCATGCCCGACTTTGACCAGATCAAGGCCACCTTGCACGGGCAGATCATGGCTGACGCAGAGTCCATGCTTCCTCCGCCAACGTCGACTTCGACCACAACGACCACAACGACTAGCACAACGACGAGTGCATATCCGAGCATGGACAGTGAAAACAGAGTCCTCCTGCGCGGGCGACGGACCCTTGAGGGTGAGGTCGCCATTCGTGTTTGTGTTCCGCACATGGCTTTGTTTGGTTGCATGTGTGTGCATGTGTGTGCATATGTGTGCGTGTGTGTGCGTGTGCGTGTGTGTGCGTGTGCGTGTGTGTGTGCGTGTGTGTGTCTGTACTCGTGTGTGTGTGCATGTGTGTGCATGTGTGTGCATGTGTGTGCATGTGTGTGTGTGCGTGTGCGTGTGAGTGTGTGTGAGTGTGTGTGTGCATGTGCATGTGCGTATGAAGTGCGTGCTCTTGGTGTCTGCGTCTCTCTGCGATTCAAGTTTGCATGCGCAAGCCCTGTGTTGCCCAATGTTTGCACCTGACATTCCCCTTACCATGCGCGCATGCTCGCTCGCCCACTCACTCACTTTTGCACCCCCAACCCGCACACACACATACGCGCGCTCTCTCTTTCACACACACACACACACGCCATTCTGTGCGCTGTTTGCATGACGTACAGATATCGTGTCCATTGAGAAGCTCGAGCCTGTGCGCCGGTATGTCCCTGCATCACGGCTGACGGACTTTGTCAACGTGGACAGCGTCGCCGACTTCTTTCCCACGACACGCGCACAGGACTTCACCTTCTTCAGGCTCACAAACGCCAACGCCGGCAACGCATCCACCATTCTCAACACCGACGTGCCTCGCAATGCGTGCATTGCCGTTGCATCGGCAGAGAGGTGCGTCGACAGCACGTGCACAAGTCTCAGCAAAAACGACGTCCCGCAGCGCGTGTACTCGTGGCAGCCCGTGACCCAGGCATGGACAGACGCAGGTCCCGGTGCTGCTGTTGAGGCGGGCACGGGCGTCATCACCGGGAACGGCATCGTTGGTCTGACACACTTCTCGCCTGACAAGGAGCAAGACATGATCATTCCCGCGTCCTTCTCCAGCGATATCACCAGCACCAACTTCAGGCCGTTTGAGCAGTGCGGCGACGTTTGGCGTTACCAGGGCGAGGGCCAGGGGTACCACAAGTACCTCGACTGCGCATGGACGACCCACGGTGCGCGCCACGTGGAGCACTTCGCCATCAATGGAGAGCACTTCATTCTGCAGACGAACATGGTCAAGCGCCAATACTTCCTGGGGCAGGTGGTCAGTGAGACCTTCACGAGTGTGCCCAACTTCATCCTGAAATGGAGCGCACGCACGACGGACAACCAGGGCCAGGAGCAGCAGCATGGCTTCTTCCTCACGGGCGGGGAGCAGACCAACGGTACCCTATCACCAGACGATGCGGCGTACAACGAGAACATCGGCAACAACGGTGCCAACGTGTGGCAGGTGAGCACAAATAAGAGGGGGCGACGGGGAAGAGGGGGGGGGGGTGAACGGGAGGGAGAGAGAGTGTGTATATGTGCGTGCGTGTGTGTGTCTGTGTGTGCGTGTCTGTGTGTGCGGAAGGGGGAAGAACAGAGCAGAATGAAGAGGGGGAGCATAACAAGGAGAATGATCGGACGATGGAAGGGGAGATGATGACAAAGGGTGAGATGAAGAAGTGGGTCTAACATTGTGGGTACACTCCTTGTCTGGTGGACTGGCGGATGTTCTCAGAACCCACCGCAAGACAGCCATCTGCTTCAGCTCACCAATGTCCGCGCACCTGCAACCATCCAAACGCTGATAGGTTTTCGGGTCCCTCTCTGGCGTTGTCCATGCCAAGGTGTTTGATATTCGCGGAGAAACGTTCTTGGCCTTTGCGGAGTACGTCTCCGACAAAGCGTGCACGTCCTTGGACGCGCAATCCGTCTTTCCCTCTTGCTGGGACGTGGAGATTTCGTCGCACGTCTTCAAGTACGACCCTCGCAGCGACAACCCGCGAGGCGACTGCATCGCACCAGGCAACCCGGCAGGCTGCCAGGAGTTCCAGGGCGAGTTCAAGCCGTACCAAACGCTGCGCACGGTGGGCGCCAGGCACATTGAGGCGTTTTCCGTCTCAACCACGGGCAGCGTGCAGCACTTCCTTGCCGTTGCCGAGAGCCACGACAACGGCCTGGAGACGGCCTCCTCCACAATCTACCGCTGGAACGGATACCGCTTTGGCGTGTTCCAGAAGCTCGACACGCTGTTTGCGGAGAAGTTTGAGTTCTTTGAGATTGAGGGGCAGGCGCACCTCGCCGTCACCAACCGCGGCTGCCCGCCATTGGAGCGCAACACCTCCTTTGCCGCCTGCGGCACTGCGGACTCAGCCAACGTCGGGCGCACGCAAGTGTACTACTACGACGTGTTCACGGACGAATTCCGCCTGCTCAAGGAGACAGCGGAGCTGGGCGAGCTGCACGCGTACGGCAGCAGCACGAACGAGGACGGTGCCCTGGTGCTGGAGAACGGAGGGCAGGGCCCAGTCGGCCTGGCCGTGTTCCAGCTTCCCCGCTTCGAGCTTGTTCGCTTCACGGAGACGGTCACCTACGTTGCCGTGGCCAACGCGCGCATCCTCGAGACCAATACGGTCGGCTCGTGCCCCAACACCTCGCCCGTGCTGTGCTCCCGGCCGGAAAACCTCTTTCGTCTCCGGTCCACGGTCACCATGGGCATCGCCAACTCTGTCACGCAGGTGTCGCAGCAGGCTGTGGAGACGGAGCTGCAGCTCAGCGCCCTGGCCACGCAGGTCAACGGCGGTGAAGGCCTAACATCCTCTCTTGTGCGGTATGTTTGTGTTGTTGTGCGCGTGCGATGTGTGTGTGTGTGCTGATGCGATGAAGACGAGAGAGGCATGCTGGCGTGCATGTCAAAGCGCAAAGTCGCAGAGAAATGGATGCGTAGTGTTGTCTCTACCACCTCGACGCCTCGACGCTCCAACTGCCACACACACACACACACACACACACACACACCTTACCACACACACACACGCACACACCTTACCACACAAACAACAAACACACACTACCGCGCACACACACCCCCCGCACAAGCTCGTCTCTTACCCTCTTTTCGATCAACACGCTCCCCCAACATCCCACGTCATGACGAACACGTCTATACACACGTGAACTCATCACCACCCCGTGACTCTCTTCTGTCTGTTGCAGGGAGTATGGCCTGGATCTCCGCCTCTACGGTGCCTCCAGCTCAGTGGACGTCAATATTGGCGGCGAGCAATATGTCATTGTTGGATTTGAGGAGGCGTACATGACTGCAGAGGAATGCGTGGACATGTACGTGAACCGCAGCAGCCCTGCATACGCCTGCGGGCACCTGAATACTGACTCCTCCATTGCTACGGAAGCGCAGTGCGCGTCCACCTGCGACCAGTCCTCCAGCACTTACGACCCTGTCGTCCGCAACCACCGCACGGAGACAATTGTCTTCCGCGTTGCGCGCGGCACCACCCGTCCACGCCTCCAGGAGGTGCAGCGGCTTCCCTCGCTTGGCGTCTCTGCCCTCCACGTGTTCCAGACAGAGGCCAATGTCACACAGGAGGTGTTTGATGCCTGCGCATCAGCCATGAACCCTGCAGACTGCATTGATGCCGCCACCGCGGGTACGGGCGGCGAGACGGTGCTGGCTGTCGTGAACGCCAAGTCCACCTGCGAGCACAGCCTCGTGGATGATGCGCCATTGTCGCCCGACCCGGCCAAGGCCGTTACCCTGTACGTGTTCAGCACGTCCTCCAAGAAGTTTGTTGAGCGGGGCAGGGTGCACACCATGTGCGAGCCAGCCAGCATCACGACGTTCACCACGGAGTGCCAGCGCACGTCTGGTACGCACTTCGCCGCCCCAGCGTGTGCGCAGTACATGGCGCTTGCGGAGGACTGCACCGCGTACAACGAGTACCTTGTGGCCAGGGGCCAGAACGACACTGACCACTTGATCCCCGGAAACCACCGAATCAGCTTCCACCGCCTCATGGAGCACGGCACTCTCACATACATGCACTGCCAGCCGTACCCCGACCCTGGCGACGAGCGCAACCACGCCGAATCCCCCTGCTACCAGAGCCCAGACAGGTTCCGCCAAGCGGGCGTTGCGGATGCTGGCGACGAGCACGCCTACGACTTCCCTGACCTGCTGCCAACATCTGCTGTGCTTGGGCAGGACATTACGGAAGACGGAACAGGGTACTTCCCACGACTGCGCGCCACGCCAGTTGCCAGCATCACCGCCGGCATCTCCAGGGCCCGCAAAAACATCTTCTACCGCAATGACCGTGGCACGGAGGAAGCCATCCCCGTCAACGACTTGGACGGGCAGAGCATGTCACCGTACTGGCTCAACGGCCGCAAGCGGTTTGAAGTGCTGCTGAGCGTGTCGTACGACCGCCGCCGCGCCGCACCGCAGGTGTTCGGGCTTCGGGCGCTGCATCCCCGCAGCAGAGCTTGTGCAGGCCGACACGCCACAACGCCACGACGCCGGGCCTTTGAGGTGGCCCAGGCCATGAGTGGAGCCATCACCTCTGGCGGCACGCAGTCGGTCTTCTTTGAGCGCCAGACCCTGGACGGGAGCACGAGATCTTACGCCGTGTTCGCGGAGCGACACACGCGCACCACGACAGACACGGACGCAGATGCGCCGGCCGGCTACCTGTCCTCTGTGTACGTTGACAGCGCTTGCCACGAGTACACCAAGTTTGATTCGACAGACCCGGATGTGTCCTCCGGCGGCATCTTTGCTCCAGCCGTGGACATTTTGCCCGGGGTCACACTGCCGGCCAACGACACGGAGTGGTGCCCGTACTCCACACATGTGGACCACTTCCTTGCATGGGAGGCGTTTGAGAACCACTACCATCCTGTGTCCCCGTGCAAGGGACGCAGCTACAACCCCGATGGCCCCACGTATGGCGTCTACCAGCGCTTCTACAACCGCCTGCCGCCAGCCAGCATCCGCGCCCCTTTGTCCGAGACGGTGACCGCCACACCCCGCGCGGGCTTTGCCTACCCTCGGTTGCCCGATGAGGTGCAGATCCTGCCCTCCTTCCAGTTTAGCACGGCCGACTACGTGGAGCTCTTCAACCGAAAGGACGAGGTGATGGGCAAGCTGCAGGACTTGGCCACGTATCAGGCCAATGCTGTTGAGGCAGTGGAGGTGTGTGGCAGCTCGAGCCAGCTCTGGCTTGTGTTTGGCAACGACGGCTGGGATGTGCAGTACAACAGCGAGGGGCTCCCTGTTGGCGGCATCACGCCGCCCGTGCAGAAGCGGTACCTGTATCGGTGGAACGAGAACTACGCCGTTGCGTCGGACGGGCGCACGTGCTCTGCCGCCGCGGCTCGCGAGGAGCTTGCCCTGTACGGCACCGCTTATGCGCAGCTGGGCTGCTTCGAGGCCGTCGAGCTCTCTGTGCCCGTCAACTCGGGGCGCGCCATTGCTGTGAGCATGTTCTCTGCCTACGGCTGGCTGGTTATGCTGCAGATCAACGCGGCCGAGGGCCAGGCGGAGGACCCGGCACCTGCTTTGTGCAAGGCGGACACGACCGCGAACTCACCTGCAGGCGTCAGCTCCTACAGCGCAGTTGTGGACCTTGCGACTTACGGCGGCTCCTCGTGCCGTGTGCACGTGCAGGAGGAAGCGGCCACCATCACACGCCTGGAGCTTGAGGATCGCGTGGCAGAGACGGTGTCGCAGACGATGAATGCAATTGCAGAGGTCATGCAAGTTGCTCTCAACAGCACAGCGCCCCTCAACTACACGGCGCTTGACGAACGCTACGTCACCCTCAACACCGACCAGGAGATTACGGGCACGAAAACGTTCTCGGTGCTGTCGGCGGACGCAGCCATCATCTCCAACGACCTCGCAGTGGAGGGTGAGCTGGATGTCGCGGGAACAGCAACGATTGGCGAGAACTTGGACGTCTTTGGCACTGTGGACGGTGTTGATGTGAGCGTGTTCAATGAGCAGGTGCGGGTTGACGCCGAGGACACGGCATTGAAACTGCTTGAGCTGACTGAGCTCAGTTGTACCCTCAGCGCTGACGTAGACAGCCTTAACAGCAACGTCTTTGGTGAGAGACTGTTGTTGTATGATGTGATGTGATGTGTGTGCGCGCGCGTGCTGGCTCATGCGTGTTACGCTGTGTGATCGTGCTCATGTGTGTCACGATAAATGACTGTGTACGCGCGTGTTTGCGGGTACATGTGTACACGTGCACTTGAGCCCTTCCCCATGTAGCATGTACCATGCGTGTGACTTGCTCTTGCATTGATTACACGACCGTTCGCGCTTCCTCCTCAACATCACTCGTTCACTCACGCATGCTGTAACATTTTTGCCTTGCCTTGATGTGTTTTGCAGGTACATCGGCCGCCGGTGCAGTGCAGTGTGTGGGCGTGGTGAAGGAGACGCAGTGCTACCCAAAGGATTCGCTCAAGACTGATGGGTTTGGGGGCCTGTTTGCGGACGTTAGGCGTGTTGTGGAGGGCCAGCTCGCGCCGCTGGCGTTGAACGTCGAGGTGGACAGCGTGCGCATGTTCCCGAAGAACACGCGAGCGTACCTTGTTCTGAAGGCGTTTTCGGCGAGCAACTTGACGGCGGCGCAGGCGGCCGTTGACTTGGCGACATACTTCTCCCCACTGTACTGCCAAGCTGACACGAGCGCAAGCGCACAGGTCGGATACACGCTCGTCACACAAGCCGTGCGCTTCGTGCTTGTGTCGTGTGATCTGTGGAGCCAGGACGTGCTGAACGAGCTCAAACTGGCGCTCGTGACGTCGCTATCTGAGTACGCCGTGCGGGCGACGGACATCGACACGCCAACCATTGTGTGCAACACAGATGGGTCGTCACGTCTTGACGTGCAAGTGAAGGCCGCCAACGCCTACTCTGCCGATGTTGCTGCTGCCCTCGACTCTCAACCATTGTGGACGGACACATACCTGTCGCTGGTGCAAGCGCTCCCTTCCTTGTTCGCCAACGTTGCGGACGTTGTTGAGTACAGCCTTGACAACTACGCGCCACCAGACTCGGCCATCACGACGTCTGACGACGACTTCTCAGGGGACATCATGCCCTAAGCGTCATGCACCCACAAGCCACGCTCCTCTTCACCATTTGTTCTGCCATGAAGGCTGGCGTTGCTGTCGACAGAGTGCATGTGTACTAGTGGGCGAGTGAGTAAGTATGTGTGTGAGTGAGAGTGTGTGTGTGCGTGTGTGTGGCGATCACTTGCAAGCATGTACATAGGTGCAGGTGTGGTTGTTTTTGCCTTATCCTTCCGCGTTTGCTTTGTTCGTGTTAGCTCACTGTGGACGAGGTTACGTGTGTGTGCATGTGCGCAAATGCGTTTGTTTGCGTGAGGGAAGGAGAGAGTGAACTGCTCTGTATTAAGAGAGAGTGTGTGCGTACGTGTGTGACTTTGAACGACCGCGTTGCGGGGGGGGGGGCAGTGGGGGTGGGTGTGTTGATATCGGATGTGCAGAACAGATAGGGTGACTGTTTACTTGTAATCGCATGTGCACAGTGATGGTGTGATGGTACACAATTCAAGCACTAAACCAAGATGATCAGAAGCCGGATGCTCTTCACGCTCCCTGTGAATTGTGTGTGTGTGTGTGTGTGTGCGTGTGTGTGTGTGTGTGTGTGTGTGAGGCGGATGGATGGTGGAACGTGGGAATGGTAAGCGAGCAAACGCCGTGAGAAGCAAGCACAAAGTCCAATAACGTGAGAGAGAGCAGTCAGCAAGCAGAACGCAATTGAAAAAGCAGTCAGAGAACAGCCAGCAAGCAGCCAGCAAAGCAAGCAGGAAACAAACCTGGGGAACACGTCAATTGAGCACACGGTCACGTCCATGTGCGGGTGTCGCATCAATGCGTAGTCGATGCGTTTCACAAGCTGCTCCCCAAAGGTGTTGAAGGTGAGGCCAACATCCCTCTCTTCGTCCTTGCGTATCTGCACAGTGTGGTGGTGGCATACATCAGCGGTACGCCATGCGTTGCCAGAGAACTTTGCGCAGCTTCAAAGGAAAAGATGGAAAAAGCATGCAAGGACGGGCAACACGACACCTGTTGACGTGCACTTGGACAAACACTGGTCAACCAACCAACCAAGACACACACACACACGCACATACACACGCACGCACGCACACACACACACACATACACACACACACCCCCACGCACACACACACACACACACACACACAAGCATTGCCCATGATGATCAAAACCACTGCAAGAGAGCTCACTTGCTGCCAGGGCGCGGTTCGGGGTGGAGCTCCAGCCACGCGTCATACACGCCATCTGTCGTCGCTTCAAGCAGCGGCGCTTTCCCAGACAAGAACCTGCGGGCCAGCACAAGCACGAGCAGTCGTTTGCGGAGGTGATGTGACACCAGGCAAACTCTCTGAACACCTGCGATCAACGGTCAGCAAGTGCAGGGCACACACACACACACACACACACACACACACACACACACACACACACACACACACACCAAGAATACAACGGACGCGTTGGGTGCGCGTATGTGTGTATGTACGTGCGTATGCGTGCGTGTGTGTGTGTGTGTGTCTGCGAGTGGGATGAAACCTCTCTTGCGGAAGTGACCCAAGGCGTAACACCGCGATAGCATTACCTGATACACGGCGTGTCTGGCTCTGCGTTCAGATCACCCAAAAACAGCTGTGTGCTAGAGTTGTCCTCCTTAATAAACTCCCACGTTTCCACACAACCTCTCTGCCGTGCAGTTTCACTTTATAGTTTGATTTGGGCAGATGCGCATGCGTGCATGAGTGAGTGAGTGAGTGAGTGAGTGAGTGAGTGAGTGAGTGAGTGATCGGGTGAATCACGCGTTGGGGACAGGATCACACAGGAGTTGTTGTTCGACCGAAGCAATGGCAAGCTGACAGTAGGAACACGCGCACTTGCAATCGCACTCTCGCACGCATGCAAACGATGTTATATGCAGGCACACTCACACACACACACACATTCGCACGTACTCCAGAGCATAGTGGGAGACGAAGATGCTGACAGGGCCAAGGTGAGGGGCATCGACATTGACACGAAGAACAACGCGTTGATGCGCGTCTGCATGGTTGCGCCTGTACAATGACGCATTGTACGCTTGTTGTGAGGGACTCGACAAAGCCATCAACGCGCCCCTACACATGCGCGCACACACTCACACACGCACGCACACGCACACACACATATGCACGCACACACATACACGCACACACATACACGCGGACATATACAGACATACAACACGCCATGCATGCAGGACCTGTTTCTGTAAAGGAGGCGATAGTCGATTCCCACAATTGGATATTTCGAAAACACAGCAACACCTTCCTCAACCCTGTCACAAGACAATTGTGTGCAGAAGTGCGCGCGTGTGTGGTGCATAGAGGGTCGCACACAAGTGAGTGAACACGTTTGTGGCGATCTGAGAGAACACAACAACGACACCAAGCCACGTTCACATGCGCGGTGTCAAGCGTACCTCCCAAAGACCTGCTCTGCATATGTCATGGCTGGCTGATACACGTAGTGGTAAGTGGGCAGAAGTGCCGCCAAGCTCGCGGGCTGACTGTCGCGAAGCGCATCGTGACGAACCTGGGCGCGCACACACATACATACACATACATACACACACATACACACACACACACACACACACACACACGGGTGTTTGGTCAAGTTAGTCGGTGAAGACAAACATGAGCACACAGACAAGGCACACACGGCACCATACGCTGGATGCACAAGTTGAAGACAGGCACACAGGTAGGCAGGAGGGCAAGGAGGCAGGGAGGCGCGCAGACATACATACTCAAAAACAAAAAAACAAAAAAAAACCAACAACCAACCAACCAATCAACCAACCAACCAACCAACCAACCAAACAACCAACCAACCAAACAAACAAACAAACAAACGAAACAAAGAGCAATGAGCGACCTCTTGGAAGGCGATGACATCGGGGTCTTCTGTGCGGACGTGGGCAGCAAGGCGGTTGAGCCGCTCTTCATACGTCCCGTCGTCAAACTCGTTGATGTTCCAGATGTTGTACGATGCAATGCGAAGCGGGCGGCGCAGCGTGGATGCATGCGGTCCTGCATGACGCAAGACAACAGGTGCGTGACACGTTAGCACGCGATGGACGCCCCGCCGATGTGGTGTGATGACGTATCATCCATCAGATGTTTTGTGTGTTGTTGTGAGTTTGTTTACGTGTGAGCACGAAAGGTTGTGGTGGCAATGCCATGCAGCCAACCCACCATCGTCGGTGTGCTGAAACCACATCTGGCATGCATGCTTTGCATGATGAATGGTTACCCAGCTGCAATGACCAGCAATGAGAACATAGGCACATCAAGTGATACTCAGAGATATGTTAATCCGGGTCATGATGGGTTTTTGATGAGATACTGTTGGTGGTGGAGCACGAGGGCCGTTTTCCTGTCAAGTCTTAAAATGGTGTCACGACAGAGGTGTGTCAACCCTCGCTCAGCACGTGTCAAGGTGCCACGACTGACCCTCAGAGGTGTGAGTGACACAACACGTCCGACGACTCCCCGCTCAAAGCGCAGCAACGCCTGCATTTCCACGGGCAAAGGCTCTTCTTCACTGGCGCCGTCATCCAGCATCCGAAGCTGACACCACGTGCGCGTGTGTATGTGTATGTGTATGTGTATGTGGGTGTGGGTGTGGGTGTGTATGTGGGTGTGTATGTGAGTGTGCGTGTGCGTGCGTATGTGCGGAAGGTACGCTCATGTGAGCTGGTAGAGCGCGCACAATAAGCAAACCCCGATGCACACACAAACACACAAACACAAAACACACACGCAAATACACACACAAACGCACACACACAAACACAAACATACATACACACACACACACACACACGTTCTTTCGTACAAATGGACAAGCAAGCAAGCAATTAGATTCGAATTCAAGGCAAGTTTCACCAGTGCGATATCCTATCACACACACGCGCACACATATACCTTCTGCCATGTATTGTGTTCGGTGAACACAGCGCGGTCATCTGGGTGGAGCTGAGTGTGGGCCATCAAGATGGCAGTCGTCTCTGTGTCCGGCACGTGTGTCACGTGATGGCTAATGACCGACAACGTCTTGTCTCTGTCTTTTGTGACAACAAAGTGGTGGTGGTATGCATCGGGGGTGTGCTGTGCCCAATGCGATGCACATCCGCCTTCCCACATCAGTGTAAAGTAGTACGTGATTCCCTGTGCGAGCAGCGGTGGTGGTGGCAGTGGCGGAGGAGGTGACGCAGGAGGTGGCAGAGGAGGTGAGCAATACAACAGGTGAACAAGCACGCAGGGAAAGGGACAGACACGGGCACTGCAAACGCTGTAATCAACACAGAAGCACCGCAAAGCACGCATCATGCACCGACCAGAATGACGGTGCGTCGCTGCACACGGTGCGCGTGATCCATGAACCGGATCACATATGGGTGCTGACCTGCGAAACGATACAACACAGGCGCACGTGCGTTGCACGTTGTTTGGGATGCCATGTCATTGCGTGGAGTACCCGGCTTGGGGCAAAGTTGTTGGTGTGCAACATCACTGCAATAGAGGAAGAAGCTTCTGAAACACACAGCCCATCAATACCAGTGCAAACTAACTGACCGTCCTTAGTCTGGTACAGAATGTGTTTGGACGGGAACAGAAGCACGGCTGACTGGAGAAGATGCTGCTGTGCCACCGGCGGCGCGGAGGCAGAGGCGTTTGGGTTATGGCACTGTCGATTTGTGTGGAACCAGATATGTTGGAGCGCATGTTGTGCCGCTTCTTGCACATCTGGATCGTTCGGCTGCACATCCCAGCTGAATGTGTTCAGCACCTCGCCGTAGCTCTCTCGCACCTGAAAGATTTGCAGCCCCATGAGCAGTGGAGGAGTGGAAGCGCAGGGAGATAGATGAGTGGACAGAGGAGCAGAAGGTAGGGACAGAGGAGTAGAAGGTAGGGACAGAGGAGCGGAAGGTAGGGACAGAATTCAAAGATAAAAGCAGACACACAAGAGACAAACAGATGCAATAGCGACAAACAGACACACACACAAACACATCTTCACATGAACACATCACACAAACACAGGCACACAAACACAGACACAGACACAGACACAGACACAGACACGACACAGACCCACAGACACACACACACACAGACACACACACACATACAGACACAGACACATGTACACACACATACAGACACACACACATACAGACACAGACACATGTACACACATGTATGTACATACACCACACCTCGATGCTGGTGCAGACGGTTGGGATCAGCGTGATCACCCAACACCAAGCAGCAATCACAGCGATCATCGCACGACGCATGCTCAGTGTGCGAGTGGAGGAAGCAGGACTACAACTGGAGCTGGAGCCACTGTTGGTGCATCAGCGTCCGACCACTGCCGAAAATCACCGAAAAACATGATCCATTCTTCCACAACCACATCCCCGCAAGCAAGCAAGCAAGCAAGATGTTGCTGCCACAGCTTCGCGGTGGTGTTCGTGCGTTGAGCACGACGACGCGCCGCCAGCTCTCTTTCTTCGGGGACACACCTCCACCGCAGTCGCGGGTACGTTTTGCATGGCGCACGTTTACACCAACAGTGTATGCAGGGTGGCGCGGAAAGGAAACACGGTGTGCGTTATTGTGTTGTGTGGCGTGAGTTGTAGAATTTGTGTTTGGTGTTGTGTGTGTTGTTTTCTATGCACTAATGGCGGTGGACGGTCGTTGCTGGGTGCACTGTCGTTGTTGCTGTTGTTGGTGTGGTGGTGTTGTTTTGCAGGTGTTGAATCAGGTCCCTGCCTTGGAGAACTTTGCTGCGTTTGAGTCGGATCCAATTCTTCAGTCGTGCGTCAGCTTTTACGGTGCAGACTTTGGAACGGAGCAAATCTCCTATGTGGGCAAGCTGGCCGGCAGCCAGCACGTGGCTGAGCTCGCACGCGACGTAAGAGACGCCTGTTCAGAGCTCACTCGCCTGCGTGTCACGCAACGGCGTTGTGCAACGCATCTCACTGCATGGGCCTGCACACAACAGCATCCTGTCGTTACTGCACAGACCCTCGTACTCACCATGATATCAACTGTTGCCATCTCTGGGTTTGTTACAGGCCAACGAGAACATCCCGGTCTTCCACTCTCACGATCGGTTTGGCAACCGCATTGACTTTGTCAAGTACCACCCCGCTTATCATGAGATCATGAAGTGCGTACCACTGCACGATACTGTCATGTCTGTGCATGTGTTTGTGTTTGTGTGTGCGTGTGTGTCTGTGTGTGTTTGTGTGGTTGCGTGTGTTTGTGTATTTGTTCGTTCGCATGTTTGTTGTTGTATTGCCTTGACAGCAGCTTTCTCCTCACCCACGCGCCCTATGAATCCCTTCATTCATCGGCCACATGCCATGCCGCCCGCTACACACCTGTAAGGCTTGGCATCGAGGCTGAAATCCCCTCGTACTCCTGGCGCAACGCCGACAAGCGCGGCAGCGCCGTCGCGCGCTCTGCTCTCGGCTACCTCATGTACCAGGCCGAGTCTGGCACCCAGTGCCCGCAGACGATGACCTACGCATGCGTGCCTGCCCTGAAGCACATGACTGACGAGCAGCGCTCCGTCTGCGAGTACGTGCCCGCCAGTCAACCAACAAGCGCGCGCGGCTGTCGTGTGTGTGTGTATTGCGTTTTGTATTGTTTTGTGACTGTTTATGCTCACGTGGCTGTTGATAGAGTCGGAGGCGGTGTTATGATGGAGATTGAGCGCTTTGCGGCGACTGAGCAGACATCTGCTCACGCTTCAACACCCACACACACCACAAACACACACCACAAACACACACCGCAAACACACCAACGTACACTGCACACATCGGGTACGCCGTTTGTGCAACGCTGCGTGTGTGCGCGCGTGTGCTTCAGTTTCTTGACGAAGGCCATCACGCCCGAGTACGATCCGCGCAACGTTCCCGCCACGGAGAAGAACGGCATCACCATTGGCATGTCCATGACAGAGAAGCAGGGCGGCTCTGTAAGTCACATCCTGTCGCAAGTGGCTCGCGCGTTTCTTGCGACCACAACAGAGGCGATGGGTGTGGTGTGTTGTACTGGAGAGCAAGGAGGCAGGGAGATGTTGATGTTTGGGGGGGGGGGGGGGAAGATGATTTGGCGAGTTGTCGGCTGTCGCTGTCAACGCTTACCCTTTCCATGTGTATGTATGTTTGCATTATGATCGCAGGATGTGCGGGCCAACATCACGACTGCAAAGCCCGTTGACGCCAACAAGACAGGGCCTGGTTCCGCTTATTTCCTCAACGGTCACAAGTGGTTCACATCGGCGCCAATGTGCGATGCCTTCCTCACCCTCGCCCAGGTACAATGACGGCGCTTTGTTGGCGGTACATGTGTTTGCATGTGTGCATGTATGTGTGTGCATATCATGGATGATGTGCCCATCCTGGTGATTTGTTTGCTTCTGTTCAACACCACGCTGATACACAAGCCCATATCGGGTGCGCACGTACCTGTGTGTGTGTATATGTGTGTGTGTGTGTGTAGACGGAGAACGGGCTGTCATGCTTCATTGTACCGCGTTGGGTTCCCTCAACCGGCGAACGAAACGAAGGACTGCGATTCCAGCGCCTCAAGGTCAGACATATGTGCAACGCACACGCGTGCGACCCTCGCACACATTGGGGGTGTTTCGTCTCTCCAAACCTCGCTTCTTTATTCCACGTTCTCGCTGCCACAAACCCAACCGGGCTCACCAATCCACAAACCAAACACGTCAACACCAGAGCAAAGTTGGAGACCGGTCGAATGCATCGAGCGAGGTCGAGTACCACAACGCATACGCAGAGCTGCTTGGGCCCGAGGGCCGCGGCATTGCAATCATCCTCGAAATGGTGCAGAACACAAGGTGGGCGCACCGCTGTTGTCACAATGCGGTCATCATTGCCGTGTTGGGTGGGCTGAAGTGTGGTTGCTTGCACAGTGCTGATTTGGAAGCACGTGCACATCGCACTGACCACACCGCGTTGTGTGTTTTGCGTGGACGCGCGTGCATATCCTGTGTGTGTGAATGTGTATGTGCGTGTGTATTCAGGCTGGACTGCCTCGTCGGCACTGCTGGTCTCATGAAGCGCGCTCTCTTTGAGGCCGTCAACCACACCAGGTCCCCCCTCATGTCGTTGTTGCTCCTCCGCTCGCATGTGCATGCACACGCGTATGTTCTCTCGTGTGTTTGCATGTGTGTTCATTTACATGCTTCGCGTGCGTGTTGACTATTGTCGTTGCTCTTCACGCTTTATTGTGCGACCCCTGAATGCTGACCTCCTTGTCATGTGTGCGTGGCCAAAAACTATGTGTGTTTGTGTGTTCGTGAACATGTGCGTCTTTGCATGTGCGTGCGTGTGCATATGCGTGCGTGTGTGTGTGCGTGTGCGTGTGTGTGTGTGTTGACAGCCACCGGTCTGCGTTTGGATCTGTTCTGCTCGACACGCCACTCATGCGCGCCGTCGTTGCCGATCTCGTGCGTCCCCCTCCTTCCGCTGTGAATCGCTGCTGCCTGTGCCATGGCTTGCCATTGTTGTCACCACCTGTGCTGTCTCGCACGACATGCTCACTCACATGCACACACGCAAACACACCCTCACACACGCACCCACACTCACTCACACACCCACACACACACTCACACACTCGCACACACACACGCACACTCCCCCCTACACACACTCTCTCACGCACACACCCGACAGACGATTGAGAGCGAGGCCGCAACTGCACTTGCGTTCCGCATCGCGTCCACGTTTGACGCGCAGGCCTCCGAATACGACAAGGTACAGCGGCCGCCGTGAACACATGCTCATGTACCCGTACACATGCAGACACAAATGCCCGCACATCCACACGTATACACACGGCGCGAACGCCCGCATCTAATCCCCCTCCCCTCCCAACACGTGCATCCACACACCACTGCCTCTCCGTGTCGCATCACGTCGCTGTACAGGCGCTTGGTCGCATTGCCACCGCCATTGCAAAGTACCACATCTGCAAGCGCGCGCCCCAGTTTGTGTATGAGGCCATGGAGAGTCTTGGCGGAAACGGTTAGCGTAACTTGCGCCCGGTTTCTTCTTCCTCCTCCTCGCATGTGGTTGTTGTCTTGCATAGACACCACACTACAACCAACACAAGCACACAACCAACACATGCACACGCACATACACATACGCATACACATGCACATGCGTCCTCACGTGATATGCCCCTCCCACCGCCTTTGCTTCCTGCTGGCCGCGTTTAGGGTATGTGGACGAGGGCCCGATGGGCCGCCTGTACCGCCAGGCCCCGCTCAATGCCATTTGGGAAGGATCCGGAAACGTCATTTGTCTCGATGTTCTTCGATGCTTCCACCGCGAGCCAGAGTACGCATACGTATTTGCTTGCGTGCGGCTGTTGTGCATGTGTGCGCGCGTGTGCGTGCGTGTGCGTGTGTTGAAAATTGTGCGTGTACACACACACACACATCAACACCCATGCTACACCCACGTCACATGTGTACGCCCATAGAAGCTCTCGTATGTCACAATGACACCGTACCAAGCACGCTCACCGTCTTATGTGCTGCTGCTGCTGCCTGTGTCTTTGCTGTCCTGTCCAGCGCTGTTGAGGCGCTGATGCACGAGCTCTCATCGCTCGGTCACGTCGAAGAATACGGCCGCAAGTTCAACAAGGTAATGACGGCACACATTACAAACCTCCACGCATCGTGATTCACCCATACCTCACCACACACACACACACACACACACACACTCACACTCTCACACTCTTACACACACACACACACACACAACTTCTCACATGCATGACATGACACACGTGACCCATGTGCGTGCATCCATTCACTCATGCGTATGTGTGCAGCTCAAGGCTGAGATTGAGAACATTGGGCAGAACCAGGGCCGTCTCCGTAACATTGTCGGCACCGCCGCTCTTCTGCTGCAGGTGCGCCTTTTTGCCCGTGTATGTGTGTACGTGTGTGTGTGCGTGCGTGTGCGTGTGCGTGTATGAAATGAACTCAAACATCTCATTTTTTGTCGTTTTTGTCGCTGCAGGCCGTCGCTCTGTCGCGCACCAGCACGGAAGCTGTTGTGGATGCTTTCCTCAAGACAGTGCGTCGACTGCCGTGCACCACGTCTTTGCACACCTGTTTCGTGTGCCTACCTCTCTCACTCTCACTCACACACACATGCACACACACACGCACCTACACCCACTCACTCACCTACACTCACACTCACACCTCTCGCCACGCGTCCTCCGCCCTCTCCCTCCTCAGCGGCTGTCTGGATCGCCAACGCGCCTTGAATACGGTGCGCTGGAGCCGGGGTGTGACGTCGATGCAATCATCACCCGCAGCAACACCATCGTCAAGCCAGAGGCTGCCAGCACAACGCACGCCTGGAAGTGAGTGATGGCCTGGAGAATGCTGGAACGAGTGTGAATGTTGGGGGAGGGGGCTTGTTCACTGCTATTATCAGCCACAGAGAGAGAGAGAGAGAGAGAGAGAGAGAGAGAGAGAGAGAGAGAGAGAGAGAGAGAGAGAGAGAGAGAGAGAGAGAGAGAGAGAGAGATGTGTGTGCGTGTGTGTGTGGTTGTGTGGTTGTGTGTGTGTGTGTGTGTGGTTGTGTGTGTGTGTGTGAGTGTGTGTGCATCTACTACAGCCTGTCATATCAATATCAACCGCCACCACTCACCAACCACCAACCGCCCACCGTCATTGCAGCCCGCTGCAGCAGTCGACACGGCGCCTGCACACGTCCGCCCACCGCTGCCACGCAAGTGCAACAACGACGACCACCACCACAGCATCATCGCCCACACACCCGCGCAACCTGCCGTTCTCCACGGCGGATGAGGTGATGGAGCGTCGCGCTGCCGGGGACTGGGACTGCCCCACGTGTGGTCGCCTCAACTTTGTGTATGCGACAAAGTGTCTTTGCGGACACGCACGCGCATCTGAAGAGCACACGCGCGACGGCGATTGGCAGTGCGGGTTCTGCGGCGACAAGGTGTTCTCGTACAAGCGCTTCTGCCGCTGTGGCGAGCCAAACCCAGACCTGCTGTGATACGTTGTGACGAATGTGCGCCTGATGTGACGTGTGCCAGCACCAAACACCGCACATCACCACATCACGGCTAAAGTTGCGCCCACATCAACACATCGAAGCCCACAGTCATGCCCAAAATCCTTTGTTTTCCGTCTGTTGTTGCTTGGCGACGCGTACGCATTGTTGATTCTCTTTCTTCCACGCCGCTACGCTGTCTCGTTTCTTCATCCATCCCACACCACCTCTCAACACCCTGCGCATGCACCACGTTACCACTCTGCCATACATGCACACCCGAATGCCAGTGAGTCCACAACGAAGAGTCTCACAATCACATGGCTGCGAGATGTTTGTCTACTTTGGGTTGTGGATGATGACGGCACTGGTGTCGTGGACAGTGCAAGAGGGTGGCAAGCGAGGGAAGAACAACAAGCAAAACGACAGGGAAAGCAAGAGGGAAAGCACAGACACAACAAGCACAGGTAAGCAAGCGAGGCAATGGGAACACACATGCACACACACACACACAACATACAACCACAACACGCAACTCCTTGACATGACAACATCCACCACAGTCAGGTAAGAATCAAAACACACAGCAGCACAACCAAAACTGAACCGAGAAGAAGTGCATGCCACAACCACTCACGCACTACCCGCCTGCGCAATGCACGCGTTGCAACAGGTTGTGCTTGGTGTATTGGGGGCTGTGTGTGAACGAGAGTGCTGTTGCGGCATCTACTTGCGAATGAGGAGGTAGAGGTGGGATGTGTCCTCGCCCTCTGTCTGCGCTTCAATGATGATGTTGCCTTCCTTACCGACAACCCGGAACGTCTCTCGTGCGTCTTTCATCTGGTGGCGGAAAACACACATCAGGAACAGGAGAAGGAGTGAGCTCATGGATGTTTGTGAGGATGAGCATGTACGTGTGCATGTGCGTGAACATGTGTGTGCGGGCGTGTGTACTACAATAGCAGTCACAGTTCGCATGTGCAGACCTGATGGGTGATCTTGCCCGTGTGGACAGAGCGACGCTCCATGCGATGACGGCTAAAAGCAATCACAGCATCGGGGGTGTACACGGCAACCTGCACAGCAACAGCATCATGTGATAACAGCATTGCAGTGAGGAAAGAGAACAAATTGCCGGGGCTTGCTCGCAAAGACGCCGTGTGTGTGTGTGTGTGTGTGTGTGTGTGTGTGTGTGTGTGTGTGTGTGTGTGTGTGTGTGTGTGTGTGTGTGTGTGTGTGTGTGTTGGCTGCGTCGACTCACTGACGGGGACGTAGTCCTTGGAAGACTTCTCCCAGTCGCCGGTCCTGCCAGAAGGAAAAGGTCGCGATGGGGGTTAGCGGGAGCAAAACACAGCTGGTGAGAGTTGAGAGGTGGCACAAGTGCAGGGACAAATCGGAGGGAAAGACACGCAGACACACACACACACATACACACACAGCCACAAACACACACACATACAAACACATACAAACACACACGCACACACACACACACACAGCCACACACACGCACACACACAGCCACAAACAAATAACATACGCGCACACACACATGTTGACTGACTTTGCCTTTGATTCGTTTGGGTTGTCTTCGACGGCCACCGTGGTCATGGGGAGCTCCGCATAGTCGCTCGTGTCGTCCACAATCGCAGACACGCTGCACGTGGCAGGAGGGAGAGGGAGAGGGTGACGTGAGGAGTTTGGTTGGCTGTTGTATCACACGCAAGAGCATAACAGCAAAGGGGAGCACACAAGAGCACGTATGCACATGGCACATGAACGTTCATGGCACGCACGGCGCACATCGCACACAATGAGCACACGTGCACACGCACCGCTGCTTTGAGGGTTTGAGAGTGGACTCGCTTCCTTCGTCGATTTCGTATTCCTGCACGAGCGACTGCGCGTGCTTGTCGCCTGATGGCACAGACAGACAGACACACACACACACACACACGTTTACACACACACACACACATGCACGCACACGTGTTGAAGACATGTAGCAAGGAAGCACCGTGAGCATGGTTTCAAAACAGGATGTTTCACACAACCGCAGTCTCGTGGAGCACACATTCAAACACATGCACGGATACACGAAGCAACGGGCAAAGCGCATGCTGGCGGGGAACGGTGACGCAGAGGAAGGTGAAGCCCGTGTCGGGGGTGCGGGTGACGGCACAGCGCGCACCAGAGGCGCCTGCAGTGCGGAAGAGACAGGCAAACGAAGAGATGTGTGTATGAGTAAGTGTTTGCGTCGGGCGGGCGTTTTCTTTTGGGGGAAGCATGAGGAAGGCAAAAGGAAGTGGCAGTGGCATGGTGCGTAGCGGGCAAAACAAGCGAGCAAATCGCCGCACACACACACAACACAACACTCACAAAACAAAACACACACACACACACGCACACACACACGCACACACACACGCACACACACACCAACAACACAATGCAATGCGCGCACCGTCGAGGAGGCGGGTTGTCTTGAATCGGATGTCCTCATCGGGTCCGACGAGCAGTGAGTTGAGATCATGCACGCACACCTGCCCGCGGCCATCGACGTCAGAGACGGAGATCATGATACCCTCCTCGTCCATGACATACAGCCACGTGCAGCGGCGTCGCGAAACCTGCACGAGCTCGCGCTTGTCACCGCTCGTCTCCAGCACATACAGGCCCGTCTCTGCCCCGACGATGATGTACAGGAGCGGCTCCTGCCCGTTGGGCTGATGCTTCCAGCTCGCAGCACACAACACCTGCATTAAGGTGCAAGTGTGTGTGAGAAGGGTGTGTGTGTGAGAGAGAGTATGTGTGTATGTGTGTGTGCAAGTGCAAGAGTGTGTGTGTGTTGGTGTGCGGTTGAGGTGGGTGATGAGCGAATGCATTTGCGAGGGAAGAAGTGCATGGGTCGTGAGAGGAGTGCACGTGCACCCAGGTGTGTAGCCACGTACCCTGAGTGGGCAGCCAGCAAAGACGTTGCTTAGAACGAAGGAAGAGCCCGTCTCCTTACGCGGCGGCTGCGCCGGCTGCTGCACACACACACACACACACACACATCAAGCGAAGGAGGAAGGCAGGGAAGACGTTAGAAACTTGGGGAATGGGTTTCCCCCGCACAACACTGACAACCACAAAAGGCGACAAATGTATGCACACGCGCACGCTTTCTCACACTCACACCCGCCCACGTACACACAAGGAGTCGACAGACGCAACAGCAGGGCAGACGCCAGACAACCAGACCAGGTCAAACCCAACCAAACAGCAGAGACTCAAACATGCCCAACACAACCAACCTTGGACGGCGGGGGTCGGGAGGAGGGCTTGGATGGAGAGCGCGGTGGCACGCCGGGCTTGCCGCGCGGCAGATTGGCGTAGATTGGACCTTGCGCACATCACGGCAGCGACGTGAGGTGTGTGTGTGTGTGTGTGTGTGTGTGTGTGTTGGGGGTTGTTTGATGTTGTAGCACATGAATGCTTGAGCGAAAGCATTTTTGCATGGTTGTGTGTGTGTGTGTGTGTGTGTGTGTGTGTGTGTGTGTGTGTGTGTGTGTGTGTGTGTGTGTGTGTGTGTGTGTGTGTGTGTGTGTGTGTGTGTGTTGGCTGCGTCGACTCACTGACGGGGACGTAGTCCTTGGAAGACTTCTGCCAGTCGCCGGTCCTGCCAGAAGGAAAAGGTCGCGATGGGGGTTAGCGGGAGCAAAACACAGCTGGTGAGAGTTGAGAGGTGGCACAAGTGCAGGGACAAATCGGAGGGAAAGACACGCAGACACACACACACACATACACACACAGCCACAAACACACACACATACAAACACATACAAACACACACGCACACACACACACACACAGCCACACACACGCACACACACAGCCACAAACAAATAACATACGCGCACACACACATGTTGACTGACTTTGCCTTTGATTCGTTTGGGTTGTCTTCGACGGCCACCGTGGTCATGGGGAGCTCCGCATAGTCGCTCGTGTCGTCCACAATCGCAGACACGCTGCACGTGGCAGGAGGGAGAGGGAGAGGGTGACGTGAGGAGTTTGGTTGGCTGTTGTATCACACGCAAGAGCATAACAGCAAAGGGGAGCACACAAGAGCACGTATGCACATGGCACATGAACGTTCATGGCACGCACGGCGCACATCGCACACAATGAGCACACGTGCACACGCACCGCTGCTTTGAGGGTTTGAGAGTGGACTCGCTTCCTTCGTCGATTTCGTATTCCTGCACGAGCGACTGCGCGTGCTTGTCGCCTGATGGCACAGACAGACAGACACACACACACACACACACGTTTACACACACACACACACATGCACGCACACGTGTTGAAGACATGTAGCAAGGAAGCACCGTGAGCATGGTTTCAAAACAGGATGTTTCACACAACCGCAGTCTCGTGGAGCACACATTCAAACACATGCACGGATACACGAAGCAACGGGCAAAGCGCATGCGTATGTGTGCATGCGTGAATGTATATGTGTATGCGTGCATGTGAGCTGACCGAGTGAGGAGACGCTCTTGACCAGATCGGAGAGGGCGTTGGCGTTGTGCCGCATCTGCTTGAAGAACGAGTGCTGCAAACGCAAACAGCAACCAGTGTTGTTGTTGTTGTTGTTGTTGTTGTTGTTGTTGCGGACAAGATGGCGGTTGAACATCGGAGCAGTGTGCAGATACAGGCCAAGGCCAAGATGAAGCAAGATCAAACGGGAAAACAACATCAAACGAGGTAAGAACTGCAATACGCAACAAACACAATGCAAATACCACGCAGGCGGCCCCCCCCCCAAACAGCACGAGCAACGGGAGGGGAAAAGACACGACCACACGGGCATCGGTTGCACGGCACCTTTGGTCAGGCTGGCGGCCGAGGGGCGTTTGGGCGGATTCTTGACAGCGCAGACTTGAGGAAATCGCGGAAGTCTTTGCTCC